CGTACCGGGCTGGGTGCACACGGACGCGCAGATTTACAATTGGCGAAGTACACTTGCATTGCTCTCAGGAGGATCAACCCTACGGGGCGCAACGCGAAGGAGTCAACGGCCAAATTTAACAGGTTACCCAACGATCACGCTGTCCTCGGGCGGCTAGCAGCCATTGCTGAGGTTCAATCGGAGAGCAAGGAGTGGTACGGTGTTGCAGAACAGGCCATCAATGCCATCTACGCCATCTCCAAGCACCCCGATGTGCTCTGCTCTGCAATTATTCGACGCAAGACAAAGCATGTTTTCGCACAGTCACGTCCAGGATCTAGGCCTACCTCAAGAGACGAGACCAAGGGTATGCCTGACATCACCATGAACCAGACAATGAATCAAACTATGCAGGTGGGCAAGCCCAAAACTCGTGATAACGCTGTAAACCTGTCGCAGCTTTTGTTCATTGTCGGACACGTCGCCATCAAGCAGATTGTGCACCTGGAGCTCTGCGAACTGGATTTCAAGCGTAGGAAGCAGGAAAAGGAGAAGCAGACGCCGGCCAAGACGGACAAGGACAAAGAGGATGCAGATGAGCTGGATCTCATTGGAGGCACCACCGAAGATGATTTTACCGAAGCAATGGCCCACATCAGAGAGCGAGAGTTGTTGTACGGCACCGAATCACTCTTGGCCATCTTTGGTCCCCTAGTGTCGGAGATTTGTGCCAATAACACGTCATATGCCGACAAGGGTCTTCAGGCGGCAGCAACCTTGTGCCTTGCAAAGCTCATGTGTGTCTCGTCGGAATATTGCGAGACCAACCTGCCACTGCTCATCACCATCATGGAACGGTCACCAGATGCCACAGTCCGTTCCAACGCGGTGATTGCACTGGGAGACATGGCAGTGTGCTTTAATCATCTCATTGACGAGAATACCGATTTCTTGTACAGGCGTCTCGCCGATAACGACGCGTCCGTCAAGAGGACGTGCCTGATGACGCTGACATTTCTCATCCTGGCAGGTCAAGTCAAGGTCAAGGGCCAGCTTGGTGAAATGGCCAAGTGTCTCGAGGACGAGGACCGGCGCATCGCCGACCTAGCGAGAATGTTCTTCACGGAACTCAGCACCAAGGACAATGCAGTGTACAACCACTTTGTCGACATGTTCAGCTTGTTAAGTGCAGGCGGCAGAATGGAGGAAGAGAGTTTCAAGCGGATTATCCGTTTCCTGCTTGGGTTTGTGGAAAAGGTTCGTACAAAGTTGAACTGCCTCTTTTCTATGGCGGGGTCGAAAGTCTTGAAGTTGTTGCTAACAAAGCATTCGTGTAGGACAAACATGCGAAACAGCTGGCTGAGAAGCTGGCAGCTAGATTACCTAGATGCGAAACGGAGAGACAATGGAACGATGTGGCTTTTGCGTTGGGACTGTTACCGCATAAGAATGAGGAAATTACAAAGACGGTGTCTGAGGGGTTTAAGGTTGTTCAGGCCGCTGCCTGATATGAAGTGGCTGATGCGTAATACGGATTGATGTAAAATATGGGAGGGACTGGCATGTTGAGTTTAGGTGTATAGAAGGAGTTGGCTTCAATTTATGTTAATGACTTAACAACTTGGCCACGTATTGGTACGAGCGTAGCAAATGATGGCTAGGCTGCCTGTGGTGATGAGGCGTGCCTGATGCTGATGGAGATGAACTCGCTTGATGGCAGGAATGAGCGGCATTGTGTGGTGTTGGATTTCAAAATCGGGCAAAACACAAAAATAAAATAAGTATAATACCCCACTCTCGGAATTTAGCCGAGAGCTAGAGAGGTCGATGTATTTGTGAGGCACGTGGCAAGATGGGGTATAGAATGTGTGGTACAGATGTCCGAGTGTGGTGGCTATGGAGAGCGTCATGGGAATGAACAGATGGTGTTGAATGAACAAATACCAGAACACAGAGTAAAAGCACGCGCGCTGTATTGTATAGGATTCCTGGCACAAAATCTCTCTCTTTTTCTTTTTTTCCCACGAAGGGTTATTTGCCATGTACTCGACTGCATTAATTTTCTTTCTATCCAACATTTTCCATGACGCCATCATGGGACATGATGGGACAATGTCTAGGGTAGGGTAAGGAGAGACGAGAGTGAAGGACCAAAGAGGGCTGGATGCAAGCACGGGCACTTGAGAGTTGGCTGGCGCTGAGCTCGATGCTGATTGGCCAGCTCCCTCTGGCCTGCTTCGAGTGACTCCGCCCCTCAGACTGAACTCCCTGAGAGTAACGGTGGCTGATAGAATCGGAGTACAAAAGGGCGGGGAGTTCCCAGGCTCGATCCAGGCCCAGTCCGGCCAGACAGACAGTCGACGCCAACAGACACTTGTACTTGGACCGATTACTTGATAACCGGAACTGGACCCCCAGGAACTGGAAACCATGTCGGTTAGTAGTACAGGTAGCTAGGTGAAACACGTACTTGACTGCATCTCAACGCCGAACTGGACCGCGACCGCGACCGCGACCATCAAAGCAGATGAACAAGCAGCCATATGCAACCATACCAGACCCTTTCCACTGCTAGCACCAGTACGATCCGTCAACGGTCCTTATTCTATATTTTATTTTTTTCATTCCCCTTTCCCTCTTGAAAGCTAAGAGGATATTCCCTTTATTCCCTTCAACCGTCGTCACCTGACACATCACGTGCCTGTCAAGTACCTAGGTACCTGGGCATACCTGCGCAGGCAGGCAAGCAAACGGGCAAACACCTCTCCACCCCAAAAAAGCTTGGACCAAGGGTCATCCATTCTGGCCGATTAGCCAATCACGGCGTCCTTGGATCGCGGTGGTGCTGCTCTTTCAAGTCTGCCGCTTCCGGGCGGGTGCGTCACGTTGTGCCTCGACCGTCATTCGCTTTGGCACTTGGACTTTGGGAGTCGATCGTTTATCCGACTCCAACAGCTTCATCACCATCCATTCGCCTTTTGTCTGCGCCTGCGCCCACACAATACAAGGCTGCACCCCGACATCCTGACGAATTGCGCCCCGGCTCGTCTTCTTTGTTTCAATTGTTGTCCTTCATCTTATCTGGGCCGTCAGAGCGCAGCTGTCCCCGTTTGGTCCCAAGTTCGACCACCCGAGTTGACGACTTGCTCCGACAGAGTGGCGCGCTCTGCATACGGGCGGCGCATCGAGCGATATCTCGTCGCGATCGCAACTGCAACTAGAACCTAGAACCGACAGGCCATGGGCTTGATCGACGCCCACGACACCAGAAGGATTGATTCTGGGGGAGACTGTTAGGTACGTGGGCCGGCATCTACCGCACAAGGACACAAGACAGGACACAACAAGCTGACTCGTCATAGTCGGCAGTGTGGATGGTGACGTTCTCTCGTCTCACATCCCATTCCCGACTTGTTGATACTACTATATACCCCGGTATATACCCTCGACTGTATTAATTTTTCTGATCTTAGCTTGCTTCACCACAACTATTGTAATATCTTAATCGACCGCCTTCCCGCACACCCAGTCGTATCATGTACGACAAACTCGTCTCGTTAGGCTCGCGCCTACACTACCCCATAACCATTACAAAACTTCTCAAGTCGCCTGGAGACTCTATTAAGAAACAAGAAACCATTATCGAGTACAAGTTTACCTGGCGGCGGAAAGTAAGCGACGATGAATGGGCCGATGAAACTACCTATACCGAATACGACAGCCCTGCCGAGGGCAAGTTGAAGGAATGGCGCATCAAAGAGGGCATGGTCATAAGCGCCGACACGCCTTGTATGCTGGTCGAGGAGGCTTGTGGCCACGAGGTTCAGATCCAAGGACTGTGTAGTTTATGTGGCGCCGACATGACCGAGTTCAACTGGGCCACGGAAGAAAGGGATACTGATCGCGCCATGATCAACATGACCCATGACCAAACCGGTTTGATGGTCAGTGAGAGTGTCGCGATGAAGGCAGAGCATGATACGCAAAAGCGACTGCTTCGCCAGCGCAAGCTGAGCCTTGTTGTCGATTTGGACCAGACCATTATCCACGCCTGCATAGAGCCGACAATCGGCGAGTGGCAAAAAGACGAGTCAAATCCTAACCACGAGGCTGTCAAGGATGTCAAGAGCTTCCAGCTGAACGATGATGGACCAAGGGGGCTGGCTAGTGGCTGCACCTATTACATCAAGCTGAGACCTGGCTTGCAAGAGTTCCTCGAGGAGATTGCAACCATGTACGAGTTGCACGTTTATACCATGGGCACGCGTGCATATGCACTGAACATTGCGCGAATTGTCGACCCGGACAGAAAACTGTTTGGAAATCGCGTCATTAGCCGAGACGAAAATGGCAGCATAACTTCAAAGAGCCTGCAGCGGCTGTTCCCAGTCAGCACCAACATGGTGGTCATCATTGACGATCGTGCTGATGTATGGCCGCGAAACCGACCAAACCTTATCAAGGTCGTGCCGTATGACTTCTTCAAGGGCATCGGTGATATCAACTCCAGTTTCCTGCCGAAGCGGACAGACATTTTGCCAGCGCCCCCGCAATCCAACGGCTCGGCATTAGCGCCGAATAGCAACACAAATGGCTCGAATGGCGCGTCGACTGATGTAACTGATGTAAAGACGTCGCCTCTCGAAGAAATTGCGAGAATGAGTGGAGCCGCGGATGAAATTAGTCTGAAGATCCAAGCAGAGGAACAGGAAAAGTCGTTGGAGAAGCAGTTGACAGACCGGCCTATGCTGCACATGCAAGAGCAACTGGACAAAGAAGACGAGCTGTCTCAAGATGCCGAGACTGGAGACTCGTCGGCCAACCATCCGAGGCAGCATTTACTCAACGATGACGACGAAGAGCTTATTGCCCTACAGGATCATCTCACTGACCTTCACTCATCATTCTACGAAACCTATGACCGAAGACGAGAAGAAAGACGACAATCGGAGCCCACACATCCTCCCGGACACAGCAAACCGCGTCGTAGATCATCTGTGGATGATGGAGTCGATTTATCCATGGTACCAGACGTAGGTGATATCCTCGATGAGCTCAAGTCAAACGTTTTGTCTGGCCTCGTCATTGTTCTTTCTGGACTGGTGCCTCTGGGCGTAAATATTGAAGATTCCGAGATTGGCATGCAGGCGCAGAGCTTTGGTGCCCAAGTCCTGGACAGCATATCTCGACGAGTCACTCACTTGGTTGTATCACTGGCCCGACCCAGAACGAAAAAGGTGCAACAAGCGGCCAAAATCCCGAGCATTAAGATTGTAAACCACAATTGGCTCGTCGATTGCCTTAGCCAATGGCGCCGGTTGGACGAGAGGCCGTACTACCTCAATGTTGCGGCAGACCGCGAGCGTTCTGATGATACCACGGAGGCTACGTCTGAAGCCGAAAACGTCGAGGCGGAAGCTAGGGACCTCAAAGACTTTGACTGGGCCACTGCGGACAAGGATTTAGAAGAGTTTCTCGGTACTGATAACGACGATGAAGAAGATGAGGAGCGTGAGGACGATGAGGAGGAGGAGGATGAGGAAGAAGAAGAAGGAGGAGGAGGAGAAGAAGAAGAAGACAGAGACATGGACATTGACGATACCGTTGAGAGTGGTGCTGAAGCCGACAAGGACGGGGACACAGACAGTAGCAGGACCAACAGCCTCGTAAAGAAGGGCAAGAAACGGAAACTAGCTGTGGATGAAGACGAGTCGGACGGCGACGGACGTAACATAGTGGGGGAAAGCCTTCTGGCCAAGAAGCAGCGTCTAGCTCGCAACCGTGGAGCATCCGGGCTGAGATCCGTACGAAACACCAATGGGGATGATGACGAGGACGAGGGCAGCAGTTTGCCGACGCCTGGGCCGACTAACGACGAAGCAACGGCGGTCAGCAACAAGGCGGCCGCTATGGAGCCAGCGCCTGACGACGAGGGGGATGCGGATGACGATGAGTTGGAGAGAGAGCTCCTGGCAGAGCTGGAAGCCGCAGATGAGTAAAGCCGTGGAGAGGCGGCAGACATCCGTTGATTTTTTTTTCACCCGGCTTTTGTACTGTCTCGCTGGGCTGGGGAGTTTAGGGCCCTGCATATATATATGATTGAGCGGCAGCATGGACCGGACCCGGACTGGATCAAGGATACATTGGCTGGTTTGTTAGAGCGTGTGTTTTGGCTGTAGGATGTAAGGAGTCAGGTTTAGCAAATGAGGCGGTTTTCCACTCTACATGTATATGGTCGTCGTGGTTCAAGTGTCTATTTTGGTTGCTGCTCTAGATGGCAATGGGGCATATGTGTGCAATGAAATGAGCTCGTGTGTCAAAGTTTTTGGTGCATCTCAAGAGGATTCAATGAGATGTATGTACGTTAGCAGCGATTGTATGTACTCCTACCAGCAAGAGTAGGTCAACTATGTACTTGAAACGCGTGGTCTTCCCGCGCCACTTTGGAGGTTTTGTTCCCACCGCACGTCGTCGTCCAACCTTGAACCCATTTGATGTCGTACGCAGACCAGACCGTGTGTGCCCTTCACCACGTACCACCTTTGTCTCTCCCTCTCTCCATCCTTTTACCAAACCATGACTCGGTTGGCTTGGGTACCGCCCGCCCTCTGTGCACCATCGGTAACATATTTTCCTTCCTAAAGCTCCTCTCCTTGCAAATACTACTCCCTCAATGAAAAAGAAACCCTCGCAATATCCTCCTCGAAGCCCCCATCCGCTCCTCTTCCCAGTTCCGTCCCTGGTTCTTGCTCACGGCGCCCGGCCGCAACCATACCCAGACGCTCCAACAGACCGACACCCCCCGCTCTAAGCACAGTTGCCAACAGGGTTCGCCGTCTTCTTGGAAATGTTGCTCACGTCCGGCCCCGGGTGCGGGAACATGACGTCGGCCCCTTCAAGCGTCCCACAGCCGTTATGCACATTCGCCACAAAGATCTTGGGCCGCGAGCCCCAGGCGGCAAAGGACTCGGCGGAGGACGAGTTCCCCTGGCCGCCATGGATGGTGATGTGGGCGCAGTTCATGTACATTTCCCGGTTGCCAATCTGGTTGAACCACGACCAGGCAAAGAGGGCGTCGCCCGAGGGCGCGTCGGCGGGCAGCGTGAAGGCCCATTTGGGGGTGAGCGGACAGCCGCCGATGAAGGAGCGGACGACGGTCCAGGAGGCGCCGGCGTCGTAGGACAGCGAGACCTGGCACGAGCCGCCGTTGTGGGTGGCGCTGCCCTCGAGCGAGATGCTGTAGTCCTGGCCGGCCGTCCAGTTGGCCACGGAGCGGCCCTGGTTCGTGTTGAGCAGCTTATGGTAACCCTTGCACGGGTAGTTGGCGCCCGAGGCCTCGAGGGGGCTGTTCATGTTGTAGTCGACGTTGGTGGTGTAGGGGTTGTACTTGGACCGGAAGGGCGGCGGCGACGACATTTGCATGTGGGCGGTGGCGAGGCCCGCGAGGACGAGGGGGCCGAGTTGCATTTTGATGAGTCTTTTATTTTCTGTACGTGTATAGCTGTTTTGAGAACTTTGCCCTGGGAAGTGAGAGTCGGGTGATGGCTTCGTGTCTGGATTCGGGAAGGGAGAGGAGGAGGATAGTTGGTTATATAGTTATTTTGGACATGGCAACGAAGGAGGCAGGCTTTGTTTGCAACGTAACTGGCGAGGTGCTACGCCGAGTATGCCAAACCAGTGCAACATGAGCAAACTCGGCTCCCTCCCCAATACGGTGATGCCGTCCGTTTTGCCTCCTTGGCGGCCCGAGCGAGGGAAGCACCTTGTTGCAGATGATACATGGGCTCTCCCGACCATTGTAACCGCCCCTCTGGTCCTCCCTGCTGGGTCAGACATGGCAACCAAGGCAGAGCCAAGCTGTCAGTTCACGGATAGGAAGTTGATTGGTACGACATGGGCGGGCGGGAAAGGGGACATCAACAGTCCCGAGACACTGGGGGTCCATGTAAGTGGATAGGACCGTGTTTCTGAGGCCGCTCCTCAGCCTGTGAAGAGCGATCGACTTGCTGTTCCTGCGACTTGCCGCAGGTATGATAGGTGGGGGCCGCGAGACATGAGATGGAAATAACGAATTCCTTGCCAACGCGCTCGCATATCTCGGCAGCTTGTTGTGGTTATCGGGGACGAACACGGTGTACGTCCACCAGCGGTGCCGGCACGGAATGGTGCCATGCTCCATCTCGTTAGGAGGTCCATTTGTGAGGACTTTGCTAAGGAATCCTATGTAGAGAGCTTGCGGAGGAATACGACTCGGCGATGTGAGCAGAAAAGTAAAAAGAAAAAAACGTGGTAGATGCATGTTGCAGGCAGGTCTTCATCTGGGGAATGGGCGACAAGCCCCCCATGCAGGTCCAGCTGCCCGATTTGGAGGGTCGAAAACGGCCGTTTCTTGGCACCCCTGGCTGGATTGGGGGAGCGGCTTGACGATCCCGATGACACGGAGTGAAGGAGCGTGTTGTGGCAGACGTGTCTATGCGGGATCTACATTTGGACAAGGACGAGACGGATGATCGGCTGTTGGTTCATGCCATGGCCGCGTGGGAGGCTTGGAGGACAGACGACAAGAAAACCCCCCGATTAGACGGAGTTTTAGGTAGATTAAACTACGTAACTATGTACGTATGTGATTTGGTGAATACATATTGGCTAGCAGACTGGTGCTTCTACTTGTATCATGGCGGCAAAAGCCGAAGCCGTCCGCCTCGGTCTCGCGGCCGTGGCCTAGCAGGTCGTTTCCCTCTACCAAATTTTAGAAAAGGTGACTGGTGTCTGTATGGCCAGCTACAAGCGGTGTGCTGTGAGAGAGAGTCAATGTATCGTGCCGGGGCCGGAGGGGGACCGGGCTCTGTCCTTCAAAGTGGGATCGCCATCCCGGCCGGTCCCGCTACTTGCCCAGTCGTCTCGGGTGCTTGCCACCATATGCCTCTGTTGTTGGTGTCTAGTCTGATTAATGAATTAAATAATTTTTACTAGGATTTTTTCTTTCTTTTTTGGAAATTATGCACTCGGCTGACCCCCAATCAATGCAACCTTTGAGAGCCCCAAAGTCCCAAACGGGATCATGCAACACGGCCTTCCTACCTTCTCAATCGGGAAACGATAAGTCGTCCGTTCTGCCCTGACGGCCTGTCCTAGCCCCATGGCGGGAGCTGATAGGGCCGCAGGGGGACTATTTGAGGCAACGTTGATTCTGATCCTGTTTGGGAGCTTGATGGCTTTTGTGGGCTGCGAGGAGCATGGCATTCCCTCCCGTCTTTGGCGGCGTATAGTGGCTCGTTGTGGCCGTCATGAGACCTGGTTTGTGGAGGTTTGGTGATTAAAGGACCCTGGGTTGGGGTTGAATTCGCGTTACAGGAGGAGCGTAGTATTCTCTTGTGCTGCTTGGTGTTTTTTGCTTGTGTCGTCAGCCTCGCCACGCACACACGCGTCTTTCGGAACTCTTCTTGGCTCGTCCGAGTTTCTATGTGAGTGGGCGAGCCGCTCCGAGACCCAACGACAGCAAACGCCTTCCAAATCGAGCTGTCGCATGGCGCTTTTGGGAGGCATCCAGACGTGGTCGTATGCGCCTTTCAGGAACCAGTCTCTTCATGACCCCAGTGTCGGGGATGATGCCTTGTTTCCGTTTCCGAGACCTGGGCTGCTCGCCTCTGGTATTGTGCCATGCAATAGCAAGATGGGGCAAAAAAAGCTGCTGCATGGGCAGTCCATTGCAATACTGTTGGGCCTCTGAGCCATGTCATGCTGTTGTCGAAGCGGCATGATTCCAACCGGATCCCTGGATGGATCGCCATGAGTAAAAAAAAAAGAACCTCAACCTGAATCAAAGAAACACAACGAGCGTCGCCCCAATGCCGTCGGACCGGAGGCAGCCCTTCTTTATTTGCCCCTTGCAGTCGAGATCCAGGCATGCGTTTCTTGGCTTTGACATTGGAAACACTTGCTGGCGAGTCAGTCATGCACGGGGGCTCCCAGCTCCTCCATTAAGAAGATGGTAAACTGTGCTCATTTTTTCCAATCAAACATGGCGTGATGAGGCTGGCCATTGCTCTGTGAAAAATCTGTGCTCAATACGATGCCACTGTCCAAACAAGCAATGAAGAAATTCAATGCGTAAGGGGATACTGGCATAGTGTTTCCCTCCCCTCTCTTTCTTTCTCTTTCTCCCCTTTTTTTTCTTCGGCGCCATCTCTTCGGGCAGCTCTGCAGGGAAGTTAGTGATATCCCACGCTTCCAAAGTGAATTTGCTTCTTCTTTTTCCCCCTTGTTTCCTTTTTCAAAGGCAGTCAGTACATCTCTTCTTGGAGTGACTGCTGGGAATATTTCCCTGCTAGAGAAGACCTGCTGGATGCTAGAGAAGAAGAGTTTTAAAAAATCAAGGTATGCTAGATTGAATTTCTTTGGTCGGCATCTCAGACACAGCCATTGCTGTACCGTGGCAACTTTCCTAAGCAGCAAGTGAAAAGATGCCATGGTTTTATTGCATGGCAGACCGCAATGGACGAGCGCAACACCGGCATCGCACAACTGAAACCCTCGACAACGGATTCCAAGTGATGGCACAATGTCAATCCTCAGTGCAAAGGGTTCCCGCCATAGGCTACCTTGATGGAACTTAGCTATTCCGACCTAGCTAGTTGACAGCGCTTTTTTAGGTTTCTGTTGAAATGTGAGAGCACTGGGAATTCACGCTCTTAATAACAATATCCAATATCTCAGGCCGAGGGGGCAACTATTTGTACCAGAGCGCCAGAATTCCTGGCCCCCAGCTTGGCTCTATGGCGGTATCAGTCCTGAAAGTACTTTCGGGTTGGAAACGAGGCTTAAAATAAGAGATCTTTAATCACTTCTCACTCTTCTTGTCTTCTCTCCTAGACCATGCCATGCAGGCGACGAAAGTGACGGTGGTCAACGGCAACGCCATCGTCCAGTGCATCCAAATATTTGGCGATATTATGCCAAATAAACACTTCCATGATGAGCACCGTAGCCACACTTTTTTCCTGGCAGGTAAATAATACTCAGAATTGACATGGCTTTCATGGCATCACTGTCGCTCTTCCCGTCTATCGCGATCGGGTCCGTGTATTCAGTATCGCTTTGAGAAAGAGTCGTAAGCGGCTGGCTTGAATCATCAGTCGCCGCAAGATAATGAATAATGTAGATACTAACAAGCATATCTTGGTTCATCTACCAAACTTTTCCATTTGACATTGGCAAGGCGCGAGATGCCCCTTGTCTCACTTTGTTGAGCCTTGGCTTGGGCATCGAAGCCCCTGAACGCCAGGAGAGGGCGAGTATGTTGCCAACAAGTATAAGAAAGAGCCTGGCTGAGCAAGTTGGCTGCCTCTACAGCCGTCCCTCTTTCTGGTTTGCCATGAGGTAACTTGTCGGTGAATGTAGGAGCTGCAAGATAGTTTGATAAGAAAGCCCGACAAGACTAACATGTAAATTGGCTTCGCCCAAGAAGCATGCATAAAATCTCGCCTTTCATCCAGACTGCATTAAGGAAGTACGCTTTACGCGAAACAAGCTTCATTATAGCATAAATTGCGTTAGATTTGGCATAACGGATCACACCATAAAGCGAGGCTATAGATGAAACGCCATGTGTGTGAAGTGGTAACTAAGCTCAATTCATCTGACTCTATCCGCTTGTGCATGAACAAGTATATTCGAGATGGCACAAGTACATGGTCGACCCGGCCAACATCGTGCCTATCGTTTATGTGCGACGCAATAGCAGCATCGTACTGTATTCTTTGATACCCCAATCAGGACATGACTCTCGACTCTCTGGCGTGCTTGATTAGCCGGGCAAGTTGATGGGCCCATCAAGGCATGAGCACTCTGCGTGTTACACCTGGTGTTTGAGAGCTTTGATATGCCTTGAAATCTGCTTGTGCAACTACAGCATTTCATGTATGACCTGGAATAATACCGAATGCAAATGCATTCATGATTGTGGCCACAGATAGCGTGCATCTACATGGTGGTTTCCGCGCCGAACAGAAAGAATGCCTGTTCCAAATCTCCTCGGCGTTAAATGTACATATTCCCCCCAAATAAATTTCCAAACCTTTATCTACTTCTTTCGTGAACAAACTACTCCTTGCATACATCAATTTTTATAAGTTACGTGATATGTGAACATGGTGGGAATGTAACCCAGCTTGACGTAAATCCCCCAGTGACTGCGTTTCGGACGATGGTCAACTCACAACTTGCAACACAGTGAAGCTATATACAGCGAGGCCCACAATTGAAGTAGGTATAAGCTTCAACCTTGTACACTGGAAATGGCTTAAAATGTGGCGTCTTGGGGTACTTTTGGTCCCTCGTACGAACCTATTGCGAGACGCCTAAACAAAACGCCTCACGCTGGCAGGGCTGAGACACCCACCATCCCAATCCGCCAATCACAGTTTAGTAGCAGGTCGTCTCGTTTTCCAGAATAAGAATCACGAAGGATACGACAAAATGCGACAAAATATGACGGCGCAGTAACGTCTGGCGTGGAAAGGGTTTCGGGGGGTTACATATGCAAGTGCGGCCCCATACGCCATGCCTGACGATGGCGTACGAGTGAAGGGGAGTCGCCAGACGGCACTCGCGTTACTCGCGATAGAGAGGCCGGGACAGAGTCTGACGGTACCAGGGTCACGCGACGTGACAGATTTGACGGCGTTGAGCCTAATGGCACCCACGTCACCAAGAGAGGCGGCGAAGAGAATGTCGACGCCATGTAACGCGCCGAAGCCGTCATGGAGGTCCAACCAAACGGCACTCGCGTGAGCAAATGAAGCAACACGATAATTCCGCAGAATGAGTCCATAATTTTGGTCAAATACAAAAAGTTTGGCAGGTCAAATATTGAATATGTGTAGCGAGGTCAAACAGATTTGCACGTCAATTTCGGTTCCATCAGGTCATAGTAACTAGCCATATTAGCCATGTCGAATAACACACTGAAAGCAAAGACTTATGTTCACAATATCTCATGAAAACATGGCCACCTGCTTCATAATGTCATCAATGCCGCGCTACGATCACCCGGCATATCACACATTACAACTCTCCCCCTCCCTCCTCCCGGTCTTACAGCCTCGACTCATACGACCAGTGCCCCGTCCTCTCAATCCTATCCACGGCCTTTTTCAAATCCTCCATGAACTCGGCATGCATAGCCCCCGTCACCCTCTGCGGCAGCAACGGCCACGCGAGCCTCGTTGTGCGCACGACAGCCTGATACTGCAGCCAACTCAGCGTGGTGGGCACCAGGCCATACTCCCTGGCCAGCCTCTCGGGCAACAAGTTGACCGTCATGACGCGCGCCAGCGGGAGCAAGGCGCGCATGCGCAGGGGCAGTTTGGTGGGATACAGCAGGTCCCGGCACAGCTTGCGCGCCATGTCGGTGACGTCGAGCGTCTCGATGTTGCGGTTCCAGTAGGCCCAGAAGTCGTCCAAGGTGGCCGGCCACATGTCGGGCGGCATGCGCAGCGACGTGCCGTACACGGCCGACTCGCGGTACAGCAGCTCCATCTGCCGGTCGGTGAAGCCGCCGAAGAAGGCGTCCTGCACGACGACGAGGGCGACAAAGAGCGTGGCGGCCGTCCACTTGTGCAGCTCCGGGTCGTTGGCGTCGTACCCGTCGCCCTTGACGTGCGTGTGGTAGCCGTGGATGACGGAGAAGACGGCCCTCTTCTCGTCGGGCGTCCCGTAGACGGCGGCGTTGAGGAAGCGCGCCGTGTTCTGGAGCCGCTGCGGGATGCGCGAGGCGAAGCTGGAATGGAGGTAGCTGCCCTTTGCGAGGCCGGGATGCGCAAACTGGCAGAGGATGGCGAACTGCCCGCCAAGGAGGTATATGTCGTCTACCAGGAGCTCTCGAAGCAGCACGGGCTCTTGGATGGTTTCGTATATGAGCGGGGAGAAGGTCTTGCGCTTCCGCACGGCTGTGGTGGTGGACGACATGGTGAGGCGATCAAATCAGACGTTGCCGTTGGCGACTTGACAATGGAGAGCACCGAGGGCATCACGGCCGTTGGCTCGAGGGACTGACTATTGGGGGGGGGGGGTTACTCATCAACATACACCAACGTATGAGTTTTGAAACTCCCTCGTCGGCGGGGCCAAAATACAACATTTGATACATGCATGCGTACGGAGTACACATGGACTTGACGGCAAAAGACGGACCAACGGGGGGACATGTGCATGGAGTCGTCCGCTTTGGACCCCGGGCCGATGGTAGACGCCGAAATCCGGGGAAGGTAGAGCTGCGCTGCTAGTGGGAATAAACTGGCGCGAGTTGCCGTGGCTATTCCCGCGTGTTGGTTGATCGTGAGTCTATTGATCATCTTGACACTGTTGATTATTTGCGGTTGCCAACAAGTGTAGTTGGCCTGACGGGTTGTAAGCCTACCTTTATTGCGAAGCTTCTTGGAATCTCATCATACGCTACAGCAACTCACCGGGTTGAGAGCCAAGACGGCGTTTTGACCAAAAATACAGAAACCCATCTCTCGCAGAAGCTTTGTCGCTTCATCCGACCGCCACCTCCACATGCTTCTCTGTCGCAGAGAATATAAGAGGGTATAACACACAAAATAACTTACTGTAGCGTGGCCACGTCCGTTTTTTGTGTGACATTCTCCCTCCCCCCTCGCGCAGCCCGCATGCCACGAGGCCACGTGCATGACAATGACAGGGAGAAAACAGGAAGTGGCTGACTCCATTTCTGTTCCGTCCAATCGCTAAGCCGCTATTGCGCCGCCTGACCAGATGTCAGTTGCATCATGAACATCACCTCCGTCAACCGCGTCCGCGGCATTGGCTCGTGGGAACGGCGAGAGACATAGAGTTACGGAAGGTGTCATACGGTTACACGAGGGCTACAATCATGACACCTAGGGCATAAGGACCTCATTGACCTGTATAAATACAGCTCTTTGGTCCATTCAGGCCCTCAGAAAGCCAAGCTGAATTGAATTACTGCTCCAAGTCCTCACTGAGCCCTTGTCACTCCAGGCTCGCAAGCCTGGTGCCGCAACTCGGATACCGCAACGTCCGAAAGCTAGTGAAATTTAACTGTAAAACAGCCCTGTCTTTGACTTAGCTTGAGAGAATTAAGGTCTTTTATCTACTGTAATTACTAAGCTTACTACTAGCTCTTATTATTAGCATTGATAGTAACTATAAGACTATTATGTATTAATAGAAAACATACATGTGATTATAATAGTAATGATAAAGCATCTATTCTATAAGCTATTATAGCCGGGGTCATCTAATTGAAAAGATTGTGAGGAAAAAATGCGGAAAGAAATAAGTTGGCGTGGCTTAAGAGGAGGGAAGATGGTGGGATTTGGGGCGACCAAGATATGGATGTCTGGTACGAGGCGGTTGGTTTAATCAAGAAGGTAATCAGGCCGGTGCTTAAAGGTTTTCTAGGATATGTGACGATGTTTTACAATCCAAGACACTAATACTAACGTGAATGCCTTTCGACACAATGTGGAGGCGGAGAACTGGCAAAAACCAGCATCGGCGTACTTCCTAGATCATCACCCGCTACGAGCAGCAAGAAACGCGTAGAGGACTGAGTATCTTCTCGTCGGGAGCAGCATTAGTAGTCCCTCAAGATGGCGGATCGGCTACTGAAGCATCTAGGATACTAGAGGCTGGCCGCGGAATCATTGCGAGCTTCGTCATCGACTATCGCAGTGGTATTGCTTCATTACAACGACGAAATGCGTCGCTGTACAAAAGGCACGTAGGGCTACGAGGCCAGATATCTTTATCATTTTGACCCAAGACGACAATAACAGCCCCGGGACGAGAAAAATTTTGCCATTTACGTCAAGGTCGAGCGGGAAAAGTCCCCAGAGACAAGACTCAGAGTATGTCACTTAAAGGAACAGAGACATCAGCAGACTAAAAGGTTGAAGAAAGCGTATTAGAGAATTGTGAGATATATATTAGTTTCTTGCCCTACACAAGACGCAAGCCAAAGAAAAATGCACTAAACGTGGCCCGATTGTCACTTTCAACGCTACGGGACATCGGAGTGACGCCTTTATAATTACAGAATCCAATTTCAGCAGCACTCCGCTTTCGGACGTTACACAAAAAGATCTCTAGGCTAGCGCCGAGAAGTTAGTCGGAGCGGAAAAGCTATCTCTTCGAAATCCCTTGTTGGAAAGGGCAAGGTAGAATGAGGATATCGCGGTTTTTGCTGTACTCTAGAAACTAGGGCTTCTTACCAAGCACTCTGCCACTCCGCCGGAAAAATAATGCACCATTTTGTCTTATCATTAGCCTCTAATACCTTGACTTAGTTACATATTAGTTAGGGAAAGCTGGCAGCTCGGCAGAGCGCAAAAAAAGATGTCCATTTTATGATCATCGAGCTAACCACAGCCTGTAGTCATTTAAGTCGCAAGACTGTCTCAAAATCTCTTAGTTCTTCGAGGCGTTACATTTTCCGCTCCTAAAGTCTCGCGAGGACCTCTGCTTTACTTTGGCCATTACCCGCAAGTTCGGCCACATCGCGATAGAATGCGTCCGAATTTAGGAAGAGTACAAGACTGGTATAAAACTGTTTGTGCAGCTCACTAAAAAAATATTCTCGTTTATGGCTAACTCGCTAATACAGCTATTAATATTACGGTTCTTAATTAAAGTCGAACGCGGGGCATCGCCACGAAGATAATAGCCAGAACAGATCTACAACTAATTTATCCTAAACAGCGAGGATACTTAATATTACTTATAATATATCTACTAAGCTTCCTATAAAATACTAGCATAAATACCTATCTCTAAGTAAATCTTTAATAAGATTATATATAAGGTTAAACAGCTCGACTAAATTATAGTAGTATATTTAGATACAAACTAGTATATTAGAATATAAGTTAAATTACATTCGATATTCTATTATAATAGTTTTATATTATACGACGTAACTTAAGTAGCTAATAATCTGTCTTATTTTCTAGAGGTTATTTATTCCAAACCCTTCTAATATATATTTTTGAAACCACGGCACATATAACTCCTCCGCGTATACCGTGATTCGTCTCACCCCCGCCACAGACTTGTAAATGCCAAGGTGGTTCTCCGTCGTCCCAAAACGGTGATCCTCCCAGAGAATAGTCTTTGATTCTTCGCGTGTTGATAGAGCGAATGCCCACGAATGACCTTCGACAATGATACCTACGAGGAACGGAAGTTGCGAGAGATTCTCATCGGCTTGCTGTTCCAGCAAGGATGGATCCTCATCAGGCTTACTACGTTGCAGCGCCGCGAGGACAGCCCATCGCAGGAAGGCCCATTGAGCGGCATGCCAAGTGCCCATTTGCAGTTTCGCATCTGGCCTTCCTCCTCTTTTCTTGGCTTCAATACTGACTACTATTATCTGCAGCTGTAGAGGCATAAAATCTGTGTGGTTGACGGTCAAGGTCGGTGTGTGCCGGGCGAGCTCTCGAAGTGCCTGTGCGTAGCCGATATCCTCGCTAGTGTCATAATATATGCACTTATCAATCATGTTGGCTCTCCCAGATTGGAGGAGCCATCTTTGATGTGGTCGAGCAGTTTGGCTAGGTCAACCGGTTAGCATGCCATGGGTCGTGGGGAAAGACAACGTGCCATACCATGATGTGAAATCGAATTTATCCCCCTTCGATGTGCCCGAATCTCGGAATATGGCTTCCAACAGTCGATGGTGGACTTCCTCACCCCAAGCCGCCTCCTCGTGTTCAGCTTCATGGCACCTCTTGGCCCACTCAGACACGAGAATAATAGCTTGCGTTGAAGGGACACGGCCAGGTAAATTACGTGAATCATCTGTCTTGAAAGAGTATCTCCACGCGCGAGCAGTTGGCCCGCGGATCGATAGGCCGTTGGTAATAGATACACGCAGATCTTCGGGAAGGATCTCTATGCCGTTGCCAATGTCGCCAAGGTCAGAGAACAGATCAACAGCGGCGGGGATAGGCGGCGGCTTATCGATCTGAAGCTGCCGGAATACAAGACCGTGTTCATCGAGGCGTAGCGTCATGAGTTGTCTTTTTAGCGGCGAAGGTGAACGCGAACTGGTGGAAGTAGAGGAAGACGCCCTCACGCTGCGCCGTGGAGGACGCGGAGTGAGTTCAACATCTTCCCCGTGATGACGAGGCCTTTTTTTCGGGCTTGCTGAGTCGTCGGTTCTGTCAATATCACTTGGGGTTATGGCAGGTGTCAGTTGCTGGTCTCCGTGAGAGCATGCAACCGGTGCGGGCCAACATTCGAAAGACTCGGGCAGATCCTGAAGCCATGGACAGACGTTTCCTCCCGGAATGTCGGCCATAGTGCAGTGGTATCGGTTTTCAAATGGTTTCGTGGCGGGTTGCAAGAGAAGAGTAGATAGCGTCGAGCGGACAAGGTTGATCACTTCAAGATTCGTCCTGCTTTGAGAAGCTGCGCACCAAGTCTCCGTAGCAACCCAGCACGGATTAACCGTGGTGGAGACTTTATCCTAAAATAGGTTAAAATATGTAAAATATCTGCTGAATGCAAGGAAATGTATATTATTATATTATAATAAAAAGTATAGTTATATCTCTTTACAGATAAATATCTAAACAAAAAATCTAAAATTACAAACTCTACGAAAAATCTAACAACCCACTTTACGCAATCCCGCAACCTAAACTTGTCGTGGAGTTATTAAGCGGAGAATTATCGGTATATCTGGCCTTCTAGGTAACCCTTACCTTAACCTAAATATACAAAGTATTATAGCTAGGAAGTTTACTAGCTACCTTCGAACATAAACTATATAACCTAATTAAAGCCTTTTAGATAAAAAGGCCCGGTAATATAACTTATAAAGTAGCCTTATATATACTTGTTCATAATATCCTATTACAATATAATATATACGAGAGTAGAGAACGCTCCTCTACGCGTGCCCTTCTAGTTAACTTTGGTATAGTTAGTGTTATAGACTCGAGATTGGAGCTCAGGTTCGTAGTAGCACTCTCAAAGGTCTGTTTTGGCTTGCTTTAAGGCTGCTTCAAAAAAATGTTAGTAATTAAAAAAAGAGAGTGAGTCCCATCTCCCTTTTCTCTCTAGGTATACTATTATTTTTAGTAACGCTTACATACAGAAGTAGCCGGGGCTAGTTCTTCTAACCTATAATCTATCTACCACGAAAACTATTCAGATCGCTCTAGGCGTGTAGGAAAAGCTCTAGGAGCCGGTTTTACCTATTACGATCTCGTTGAGTCGTATCCATGTAATCTTTCTCTTGGTAACGTTGAGGGCTAACCTATAAACGTCTTACAAGGATAGCTTTAGTAACTTGATCCTATAGCCATAGCGGGCCACGAAGCATGGAAAGCCACCATGCCCGTTAGTTATGCCGTTAATTCAGACTTTCTTAAGAGTGCTAGAAGAAGCAGCTGGATGCGGGTACGTATGCGTCGGTGAAAGACCCTCTACATTCACTCAATCACGTTGCATTGCTACCTGTGGTTCAGCAAGAGACTCCCAACATCTGACCACGTACGGCGTGACAGATGTGAGTATAAATCGCCCCAGTCCAGACATTCGCTTCCTCATCGAACGGGGCCGAAATATTGCCCTTTATCTCGCAGTAACGACACATGGGCTGCCGATAGCCCGACCGCTCACGGTTAACTACGTCGCATGCCATTGCTAGTTTTCCTACTCCTCAGAAATTAATAGCTCAAGTTTAAATTTGAAATTGCCCTTCTTTATTAGCTATAATACAATTCTAGCAGATTCGATACGTCTTATAGTTTGTAATTATAGATGGTACAACTATATCAAGTCTATTACTATTTGGTAGTATGTATATATTTTCTTATCTAATTCTTGGTAAAGAATATACTACGCATCTTAGACTGCTTCTTCTTTTCTTATGTATAGGCATTTCAGGAATAACTGCGCCGTTAATAGGGCAATATAGTACACGTGTGAAAAGGGCCCTTTAAAATTAAGCGGGGCAAATAACCCAATCGGGCACGTGGTTTCATAAAGTATCACAAGGCAATGTGGACCAACGGCCAACGCGTCTTGACATCTTGTCCTTGTCCTTGACCGTGGTTATTTCTTATAGATTCCTTTTTAGACCTGCCATGAGCTCCTCTTGGATGAGAAGCCTGTACAGGCCGGTATCCAAAACCACGGCTAGACTTTCCAAGCTGCATGAGACTAGGTGTCTGGCATCTAACATCACCTCCTTGCCGGCCGCCACTTCGCCAGAGAGCCCAGTCTTGTTGCCCGCCTCAACGCCCATTGAGGAAGAAGAGCTGCCCGGCTATGTCGCTGAGAACTACTATCCGACACGTATCGGACAAGTCTTCGAGTCGCGATACCGTGTTCTCTGCAAGCTGGGTCGAGGGACTGGGTCGACTGTCTGGTTAGCTAAGGATCTAAGGTGCGTTGTCTTGCAGCGGCGCGGAAGAGACTAATGCGTGGTGCTAACGAATACAGTCATGAGGAATATCGTGTGCTCAAAGCTTGCACGATATCCAAGAATGGCTTTGTTTTGCAGCAAGCTAAGAATGAGATTACCGTGCTGGATTACCTCAAGTCATCCCCTGTGCAACAACATCCGGGCAAAGCCTTCGTCAGAACAATTCTAACCTCGTTTGAGGTCTCGGGACCCAAGGGATCGCATAAATGCCTGGTATACCGGCCATTGGGAATGACATTCACCGAGCTGCGAAATCTCCTCCCCGAAAGGAGGATCGAGACTCGGATGCTACAGCATGCGTTGCAGATACTTCTAGTGGCCTTGGATTACCTGCACAAAAATAATGTGGTTCATACGGGTAAGTATATTTCCGCAAGTATTACGCCGCCATTATATTGTTACTCATGGAGTATATATAGATATTTCTCCGAATAATATCCTTTGCGGCGTGAAGAACCTGTCACCATTTGAAGAACTCGAAGAAGCTGAGCGAGCACAGCCAGTCGCGCGCAAGGTGCTTCGCGATCGAGTAATTTACCTGTCGCGGCAGACACCCATGACACAAGGCGAGCCTGTTCTGTCTGACCTCGGGTCCGCAAGGTTTGGGCAAGAACAGTACCAAGGGGACATTATGCCACTGGTCTACAGAGCTCCCGAAGTGATTTTGGATATGAAGTGGTCCTCCAAGGTAGATATCTGGTCTATGGGTGTCATGGTGAGCACTAATTCTATCACCCCTCGGTAGTCACTTGCTTACCAGTTCCAGGTTTGGGATTTGCTTGAAGGAAGACGCCTATTCGCAGCCAAAAGAGGCGGCCTTGTAAACGATGAGCAACATCTGGCAGAGATGGTATCCCTCATGGGCCCACCACCACGTGAATTCCTGCAAAGAAGTAAAAAATGTGCCACTTATTTTGATGACTCTGGTAAGAATGATCACAGACTTCCCCAAACGTATGAGACATCATTCCGCGGCTGAATACTAAGCAGGCAACTGGCTGGGGTCCATTCCAGTTCCAACCACGTCTCTCGAAGAGCGTATTACCCGCTTGGAAGGCGAAGATAAACAGCTAATGCTGGATTTTGCTCGTCGTGCCTTGCGCTGGCTACCAGAGGAGCGGCCCACGGCTGAGGAACTGGCGTTTGATGACTGGTTGATGCAACCATACTCGGAATCCAAGGCTTCGGGTAAAGGTCTCAGTAGTGACCAATAGCCCAAGATACCCTCTTCAAGGAGATGAAATTGGGTTCTAGTCCTAAATTAGATGGAGCTAGGGAACAGATTTCGCTCGAGGAGTAGCTTCGCAGCAGCTGATTAACCAAGCTGCTGAAAGCTCTGATGTAAGCACTGTATCAATTGACAAATATTCGGCCGCACTGAACGATGTTGCCGGAAGATTGGTTGAGATAGCTAGCGACGTGGCGCGGTTTGAGCTGAAAGCTTTGGTCACAGTAATCGATTGAAGCTTCCGTATGATGCCTGTTGAAAAAGACAGCGCTGATGGACTGCGCGATAGATCGGCCGACTAATTCGTCAGATCCCACATGGTTTAGGTGCAGGAATAGAAGCCTCGGTGGAATGGCAATCAATAAATGCGACAATTAATTGATACGTGCAGTGGTATTATTTTTTGGAGGCTTGTTTCTCAATACTAGCTGTTGCAGCCAGGAAACTCTGTGTGAAGGGTCAATCCAGCCTGCGACCTGTCTACATGACCAGTTACGGGCGTAACACCAAATGAATGGAAACGGCCAAGACAAGCAGTGATTCAGGTTTGAGCCAGGCCTGATAAACGTTTTGGTCCATCAATAAAAGGCCCAAGTATGAATGAGAACAGAAAGCATTGAGGAAAGCCAACCAAGAGTCTTGGTCCGTTTGTGCCGTCTTTGTTGCATTTACTGGTCTCAGTCGCCGTGAGGGACAAGGGGGCCTACGAAGCCGCTGAATGATGCCATTTTCGCCATAGTTGTCTGCAATAATGGTTGAATATTTGCACATGAGATTGTAGGCTCTGCCCTATGGAAAAAAAAAAAAAGGTCGGCAAGGTCGCTGGGTTGCGTATATTTTTGTCGACTTGAGCTTCTAACCACCAAGATTTGGCATCAAGTATTTGACAACAACCCACCTCTTCTCAAACTCTATAATTTCGGTTACAACAGAAGACGTCATGTACAACAAAGGTGGTCGCTACACCCATTGTTTCGCTCCTTGTCCTGCAGTGTCGCTGTGAACAAAAATCATCTTTGTTAACGAGGCCAGCGGACCAAGGCACATGCCACAAGAGTTGAAAGGCCAAGTCAAACCGTCAAACAGAGCTATTTATCTTCAACTCTCCTCTTTGAAAAGTACTGTTGATTTATTAGCTTTCGATTCCCACTTTTGACCTATCAGATTTTCATCGTCGTTACTTTACGGCTATTTCCTTTCGACAATGACTTTTTAACTGTCACTTTTAATTATCATTCTCGATTACCACTTTTTATTCTTACTTTTTGACCAACTCTGCTTTACAACATGCTTTGGAGCATCTTCATGACGCTTTTAACAGCGACTGCTTACATCTTTTCCGGCGCCGGCGCAATTGAAGAGATGGACGTAGCAAGCTGCATGTTCTCAACGGATTACTTCACCCTCAGCTACACGATCCGCTCGGGAGGCATGACTCTGGCTAGATGCTTTGCAAACGCGGGAGAAATTGATATCAACCAGCGCGACGTGATATCGTACTCTCCTGGCAACAACAAGGGGTGGTTTGAGTACGAACCTGGGGATGGTTATCTGTACAGACATTCATTCAACAAGAGCAAGAAAATTATCATACACGGCGCTGACACAACTTGGGGGCGTGTTGTCAAGATACACATCAATTAGACCTGGAAACGACCAGGGGAGCGAGTTGCAATTTCACTTCATAGCAACATTCTCTGGCGTGTACAAGATTGCGTACAAGAATTTAGTACCGTCGAAAAAAATATCACTGCATTGACCATCTTGTTTGCTTGCACTTGTGTTGTTTACGATTTGCGCTCCATGTCCATTGCGTGACGGAGACGACAAGTTCTAGAATTGGTTGGACACCCAAATGCCAATGTGATTTTGAAGTGCCGATTCTGTGCCATGTTCCATATGCAATTTAATGTCATTTGTCAACTTCATTGCTAATGGGCAACCAACGCAAAATCCGGCGACTGGCTAAGGTAAATGTTCATCTGGAAAAAGGGTCTCGTTAAAGGGAGCAAGGCAATTGAGGCAGAGTTCATCGTGACTTTGGTTAGGGATCTCTCTTCTTGACAAGATCTGCCTTTACAGCCACCATCAACAGTGGAAGATTTATATTTTCAAGCGGCTGCACACTCTTGCCGATTAGACCAAGACCAAGAGCAGGTACATACTGCAACCAAGAGGATGATCCGTACGGACCGACCGATACCCGCGACCTGAATGCTGACTGCATAAGTCCCCGATTTGTTGAGTCATTGTTTCACTTACGAGAACGTATGTTTGATTCGTAGATCGGCAATATACACATGAAGAAGGTGCACAAGCTAGATGCAACTAATATTGACAGCAAAATGACGAGGCGGCAGCCTAAAGAGTCTGGCATTGATGCTTGACGACAGCATTTGCCCCGGCTTATTTCAGGCAGAAGAGAAAATGCAATTGAGTCGACAATTCTCAAAAGCAGAAGTTGGTCGGAATTCCTTGAGGCTCTCCAAGCACTCCGTTTCCACTCGCTCGAGTCAACTGGCGCAAGTCTCAATTCCTCAAGAGACCTGGATGCAATTGCGCACTTCCATGATGGAGGGCCTTTTGAACCATGGATCACCAAACCAGTTCCCAGTCATCGCCGCTCCGTCGCAGTCCAGGCAAGTGAGCACCGTGGATCGTCGCTGCTTCCACTATATGATGTGTTCTCGGCAATCGACACAAAAATAGCATCTGGCTTATGGAACAAGGTCTTCTGCACTGACCTTCTGAAAGGAAGAACTGTAGTTTTGGTGACACAGAAGCCGTGGCTCCCAGAACAAGCCGACTTGGCCATCGTATTAGAGAGCGGTAAAAAAGCAGCAATGGAGCAGAACATCGGCGTTGTGAGACAGCTGAGAACCGTTGCGCAAAGGGGCGAACGACATGTTGACGACCATGGCAACGGGCTCAGCGACAGCACGACACCGATTGCTAAACTTCCCACAGAGCGACCGGATTCCAAAGCGGCACAAAAGTCAGAAGTAGACGAAGGAGTAAAGCTCGCTGGACTTTTTGGTCGGCTGATTTGTAAGTGACTCTGGATCGGATCTAGAATTGCCCTAGATGCAGCAAACATAAGCGATTGACGTATCTAGTCCTCAAATACATGCTCTATTTCGGCGGTCCCATGGCAGCCACTCTTATTACGCTCAATCTTGCCCTCCAAATAGGTGCCGAAAATAGCATCACTCTTTGGATGTCACATTGGGTCGATGAGGCGGCTCAAAACGGATCCCTCACTATCTTGGCATGTACGTCGCCATAAACTTTTGTAGCGTCATCGTGGCAGGGATAGCCTATATCTCCTTCATGTACGGAGGCTGGGTAGCCGCAAGGCGCTTACACCGTGAGCTAGTGAACGGTGTGCTGAGCGTGTCGCTGTTTTGGTTCAAGGACAACCCGGTCGGACGAGTGATCAACAGACTATCTGGCGACATGGACACAATGGACCAGTGGTTACCACCAGAGCTAATGCATTTACTGCTTTATTTTCGCTTTCAATGTATTTCTCGTCTCAGGAGCAAAGGTTGCGTGCAAAAAAGAAAAAAGAATTGACCAAACAAGAAGGCAGCTGCAGAAGCACTTCAAAAATCCAGAGTACATCCAATCATCCATGTTAAGCCAAAGCTGGGTGTCGGCGAAAAAGAGAGACTGCCCGATAGTCAAAGACTGGTTTCATCATGATTGTGTTATGTCAGCTAACAAACGTAGGGCATTCCTTTTTGATGCCTCTTGGCACACACACACAGATGGCAATAACTACTGACTAACGACTGAACAAAGAGCTTTCCGCAAGCGTCGTTACAATGGCTCGCTGGTCACGCGATAACGGATCATGTTAGCATGTACAAAGCACTGACCGAGCAAATGGAGAATTCTTTTTCACACATCAACCCTCTTGTTAAGATGCCTGCCGGCAAGCTTCAGGGCGTTGTGAATGCGAGCGTGATGTATATGCGTCGCACCTTAACAAACAGCTCTTTTTCTACCCACAACGAACCAAAAACACCTTTGAGTAGATGAATAGTCATGTGAGATTCGTGGAGTGTGCCTCATTCTGGTTCTTTATGCTGTCTGCAAAGTTACTTAAGTCGGGCGCATTTTGGCAAACTTGGTCCTCTCGACAACATCTACTGCAATCTCTTCTTACACTCGCTACCAACGGTGTACTTCTCCCGCAAAACCTTGCAACAAGACAGTACTATCGTCATATAGTATTACCAACTGTCGAAATCCTGTACTCACTTGCCACCACTACATCTACTTTACAATGCCTTTCAAGATTTCCGAAAATCTCCGTGGGCCCTCGATGGACGGTGAAATGGCAAGACGATTTGCATCTACGGTTTGCGCGTTGACTGTGCTCATTCTCACCGCAGTGACTGTAAGCATGAAGAATGACGGAGAACCTCTGCTACAGAGCATCCTCATTGTGGTAAGATAGATACTTCTCTTGCCGCCTAGCACCGAGGAAAGCTAATGCATGTAGTCTATTTTTGGCTTATTGTTCAACGGCCTCTATCTCCATCCATATCCTCGAAATCATTTGCCGTGCTACCGAGCTGCGGTAAAGCGTGTTTTGGACCTTATTTTGTGTGTTTGTTGGGTGGCCTCTGTCCCCGCCATGGTGACGTCGTATGTCTACACGAAAAACAATTTTACGGCAAGCAAAGGGAATCTATTTGATATTATAAGGGTTCTCACCGTCTGGTCTACTGTTCTTGGTTTGTACGTCGGCTTTTGATTTATCCATGTACTATCAAACCCTGCTAACGGAAAGGCTATAGCATCCCCCAGTTCTGGACCACATATCTTGCCCAGCAGCTTTCTTAGACCTAAGTGCAAAGAGGGGCCTGCGTTGTTGCTGAGCATCCGCCAGATGTTTTAGCATTTGTGAATGGATGGAGTGGAGAGTGCCGCGACGGCATGTTGTATGGTATGGCCTTGGGAGGCCCAGGGGGTCATGCGCGGAGATGGTGATTCTGGGGCAATAAATGGCTTGTGTTGGATGTTTTGCTATGGAAATCAGAGATTGATCTTTGTGATAGATCCTTTTGGAGAAAAAGGACCGTTTCATGAACACTTGTGATTCAGATTATAACGTGAAAACATATTCAGACCATCCTATCCTAGAGTCCCATGTTATAGTAAACAGACACCTGATCTAACTCTTTACCCCGTCTAGGTCCTCTTGGAGTAGGTTGTGACATTAGACTTTTGAACCTCTAGTTTTGATTGCACCTTCGCCAATAGTTGAAACATGTTCAGTAAATGTTTCAATATGCCTTGGTGGCTTGAACCCGTGCTGATAAAATATGACCGCATATGTGGGGGATGGCACTCGTCTTCAAGGTCGCGACGGCTGCGGCCTCGGCCTCGGTGAGATCAACCTGTGCCGAGTGCCTTGGGCCCTCTACTCCAAACCCTGCTTTGCGTATGATGCCCTTGAATGTATTGATGGTTTCCATGCGCGTCCACGTTGTGGGCACGCTGAAGAGGAAGACGACCACCAGGTCTGACCAACCGCCGGGCACTTGCCGTCGGCCGGTTTGCATCTCGATTGTCTCCTTGACGTGGCCATACAATTGTCGGAGGTAGTCGGTGGCAAACCTCTGTGCCCCTTCGACGGTCTTGGGAGCTCGGGAGAGAGTTTGCGCGGCTGCCAAGTTGGCGCTGTCGATGAATATTTTGAAGAATTCGCGCCGCAACTTGCCCGACGCCTCGTCTTGGCCGCCGCCGCCGTCGTCGTCGTCGGCGCACATGTGACCCCATGACGAAAGTGTTCCGTCGGCATTGTAGACAATGGCGGTTGGGACTTTGCGCTCCGCCCGGTCACCACTGCCGGGCCAGTCGTTGATGACTTGGATGGGAGTGCGCGGCGTTCTCCATGATACGCCTGCTGAAGAAGTTAGCCATATACATGTAATCAAGAAAAAGTCTCAAGGGCATCTAATGGTATTACCTGTGAAAGTGGTGCCCAAATCGACAGAAACGACAATGTCTGGTTGTTGATTCATTACACAATGTTACACCAACATCAAAGTACCTATGCTATGAACTGTCATGGTCGAATGATTCAAAATCACAGCCTTGGGCAGATGCCGGACGCGGCTCTGGGGCATTGCCGACCGTGAATTGCTCGGGGTGCGTTTTCATTTTGCTCGGGGTGCGTTTTGCCCCACCACCAACTAAATTTAACTAGCCGGCCCGCTGCTATACCCCATAGTACATTTTTAGTATAAATGCATAGTTATAATAGCTCTTAATTAAATGTTAAAGTAATTAATTAAATACACGAATTTCTTAATAACATTATATTAAGTAAGCTTTAAATCGCTTAAAAACGCGATTTTTAGTGTTTTTAATAAATATATATATATTTACGAGCTATTAATTTTTTTAAGCTCTCTTTAGGCGTTACCTAGGCTTTTAAGAGGTTATTTATTAAAGCTACGAGATTAGCTATAATAATAGCTGCGTTTAAGAAATAATTTCCTTAATCTTAAAAGAGGCTTATCCTTTAATTAATTCTTCTTACTTATTATTTCTATTAGTATTTAATTGCTATAATAACTAGATTATTTACCTTACGTAGCATTAATTCCTAATAGTAATATTAATTTCCGCTTATATATAATCTCTTTAAATGCTTAAAGCGAGTAGCCTTTAGCTTTATTAGCTTAATTAAGGTCTTTTAATTAGCTATTAACTGCTATTTTAGCTTAAAAATTAATGTTAAGTATCTTTACCGTTTATTATAGCTTATTATTAGCGAGTTAAAATAAGGGTAAAATTATAAATATAAAGATATTAACGTTATAAATTTTAAAGGTTAAAGTTAGCTATAATTTCTATTATAATAAGCAAAGAATTATATTAAGAATATACTAAAGGCTTTTATAACTACTAGTAGCGCTTAATTTCATGCTTTTTTAACGGCTTCTTTACGGTTTTCTTCCTTAAAATATAATAAGTATAAGGTAAACTAAATTACTTAGTAAAATAGCCTATATAATATTTAAGAGCTTACTTTCTAAATTTATAAGCTTAAATAAGCTTATATTACTTAATTAAAAGGTTAATAGCTTTATAGGAAATCTATACGAGTAGCTTACTAAGCTATTTCTTGCAATTAATTAAATATTATTACTTAACTTTATTTTTAGCCGTATAAGCGCGATAATTACGCTCTTAAGTCTTAAGCATTTTATTAATTACGTTTATAAGCGATAAAAAATCATTAGTTCTTATAAATAAGTAGAGTTTTAAGGTTTAATATATTACCTTTATAAAACTATTTATAGTCTTACTAAAATTATAATATTTCTTTATAAAATAATAAGCCTACTATTATTTAATATTAAGGTATATATCGTAAAGGTATTCTAAGATTATAGGTTACTATAAATTATATGTATTAATAATTTAAATTTAATTATCCTTAAAATTATCTCTTATATTTAAATTAAGAAGCTTTATAAAAGCTAGGAAAGCGCCTAGTAGGCTATTATTAAAGGCCTTAACTTGTTATATATCCACTTAATAAACTATTAGGTGGATATATAACTAGTTAAATCCACTTAATAAGCTCTTTAACGTTAATTATAAATGTCTTTTAAACGAAAATAAAGCTCTTCTTCTTTATTAGCTTAAATAATTAAGCTAATATCTTAAGCTAGTAGGCTTTAATACTTTAAAAGGCGTAATATTTATTATTTTTAGTACTCTATAAATTAATAATATATTAGATATACGAAGGTATTATTAGATTTATCGTAATTATAACGGCCTTACTTCTTATAATACTATACCTAATAATTAAATTAATTAATAGATATTACTTTAAGCTAATAAACGCAATTAGTTTTTCGTAAGTAAGTCTATTAAATTCTAGCTTCTTAAGGTAGCCTTTATTACCTATTATAATTATAATTAAATTAGCTTTAATAAGGCTATTAAATACTATTAATAATATCTAAATTTATAAACCTTTTTTTAAATTTAACTTTATTTTAGCGATTAAATAATTATATAGCATTAAAAAGGTTATTAAAGCTATTATAACCTAGTAATAGTAGTAAATTTAAGGGCGGATTTTTTAGATTTTCAGCTATTATAATATTAGTTATAGTATTAAAGAAGGAAAAACGCTATTACTATTAAAAAAATTATACGGCTATAACCTTATTAAAAAATCCGTTAATTTTCATTAAAGCTTTTTAATATTAAGTAAAGCTGCTATACGTTTATACTAAAAATGTACTGTGAGGTGTAGTAGTAGGCCTCACCGTAAAAAAGTGGGTAAAGTGGGGTAAAACGCACCCCGAGCAAAATGAAAACGCACCCCAAGCAATTCACTTGCCGACCCAACAGCTAATGTCCAAATTTAGAAGCTTGAACATATATGCCGAGAATTTAATGGCGTCGGAGAACTGGACTGAGAATCTATCCTCTCGTGCCACGTTCCACTTTTTCTGCCCTGGTGGTGATGGGGTTCCGAATGCCAGAACGAAGTGGCTGGACAAGTGCAACTCTGTTATATCACAAACACCAATTGCTGAGCGGCCCGCGAATCAAGTCGCCTTGTGCTGGTACCTTGCAGCTGAATGGTGGCTGAGCAGTCGTGAACGCCCACGGCGCTCCCCAGAAGCCCATGGACTGTCTCGTCTGTGCTCGATACTATGTAACTATACAAACACAACTCATAACTCGCTCGGGAAGGAAACTGGCTCGAGTGAGAGAACTGTGCCATTGCGTGCCGTAGGCCACACGGTGAGGACCGACCTGAAGCGTCAACCCCATGAGCCATTCCGTCTGCACTTGGCTAACACGCATAGATTTCCTCTATTTAACCGAAGCGGGTGTCTCTGGCTGTTCATGGTCTTCTAACCCCCACCTCTTCACGGTTCATTATATCCTATACGGACAAGTGCTTAAGTATTTTTGAGCAGCCATTGTTCTTTCGCCATGTCTTTAAGCACAAAAATTGAAACCTCTACTTTGAGTGCGAATGGAACACCGACTACCACCACCATAATGGTCACAGCATGTGTGAACACAACAAATACAACTTGTTCGGGGGGCCTTCCTGCCGGTGCAGTCGCCGAAATTTCCATCGGCCGTTAGGGTTAGGGTTAGGTACTCAATCAGGTCTACTAACGGCTGAGATAGCCTCTTAGGCTGCAAAGACGAAGAATTCTGCTAGTTTCAAAGCCAGTAATTTGCGGCGTTTTGTTTTCAAATCAAACCACGTAATATAAGACCATTAGCACCAGCACTTCTTGGCTTCAATTTCTTCCGATGGCGCCCTTGGTAATACACACGATTCTCGGGCCCTATGAGAAAGGAAATTGATAGTTCTAGTCACGCTGGGTTGAGTTCGCGTCGACGACGTTAATCACTGTTCCGTGTAGTTCGGTGTGTAGTGGCCCATGGTTCGCTGATATCACGGACATACAGCTTTGATGAAGCCGGGAGGGTATGTGAGACATGTTATGATTGAAAGCATGTTCGGAAAAAGGAATGCCTAACTTGTAGGCTACGACTTCTTTCCGGACATAAGAGGCTCGCACCTAGCCCCAAATGTATATTACAAGTCGGACTGAATTGGAAACCTCGGCGGCTATTTATACTTGCATTGTATATGCAACGTCTGGTTAGAGGCCGACTTGTTTGCCAATGCTGCCTTGCCGAAGAGCCCTGCTTCCATCGAGGCCAAGGTTTTGACTCTTTCCGTCCATGTAGGCTTCAATTTTTTAAAAATCTGTGTGGTTGGCCAATATTTGCACTAGGGACTAGACCCGGTGCAGAGTCTGGTGCATAATGGAGACGTCACTTGGAGGGCTACAAGCATCGGGATCCTGTGACGTGGTATTTATCCTGCAGCATCTCACAAGTTGAAAAAAAAAGCGGTGGATTTCGTCCTAGAGGAAGGCGTCGGAAGGATCGCTCACATTCCCTTACCCATATGCAATCTTTGAACATCTAGAAAACAAAATAAAATATCTAGTAGTCGCCAAGATGCAGAATTCGGATGACGCTTGCCCCATTGCGTGTATAAGCTACAGAGTGCTTCTGCATGGAGACCCGAATGCCAATTTCAGGCGATATGCGAAATGAACGATGCTCTTAAGAGCTACGGTGCCTGCCGGATTAGGAACCATGACATTCCACAGCATATCGTCAATATCTGCTTTGACAAGGTTCGTAACTATTTCTGTATGATTCACTCACTTTAGAAGTCCAAGACTGAGGTTCTACTTGAGAGCAGACCATTTTTTGAGACGAATGCCATACGTGTGCCTCCACACATTGATCCCACCACATTTGTTTTCTGTTTTTCGTATTCCCTTGGTGGACTCGAAGTGGCAGACATTAGCAAAATGGACAATATATCTACTGCATCTGTCAAGAAATCAGCGCAATTTATCCCTATTACGTACCGGCAAGGAGAATTCATTCTGCTCGCGGGACAAGTGTTGAGAAGGCTCACTGGAGGGCTCAAGCATTCCGTACATCAGGTAAGGCGACCCGTGGGCACTTCTGGATTTCATCTAAATTATCGGACTGTTCCGAACCTAAACACTGTCCTGGGAGGTAACAAGATGTAGCTAGCTATCTTGCTAGAGTATTCCCGGCGTCACTTCGCACCAGGGCATAGGGTGGCTTTAGGGAAAACCGCAATACGATCCAGAGAATGACTCGGTGTAAGAAGACTGTATTAGCGATTGCTACGTCAAGGGATCCCTATTATCAAATGAATGCGTGCCATTATAATACTATTATTGCAATACTATATTATTGCAATCGTCCCAAGAGTACTTTTGTCATTTTCCAAGCGAGTATACGCTCAAGATGTAATGGTGATGGAAATATCGTACTTGTCAACTTGTCCCGCATGCATGCCTTGATATTGCACCGTTTGCCAGCTTCAGCAGCTCCGCTAAAAAGTCACCTGCCTGCTGCAAGTATTTCAGTTCCTCGGCTGAGCACCTTCCTATTAGTTCATTAATAGTCTTGGATGCTAATGCTAGCCATTCCACGTCGCTAATCGCCTGGTCGCTTGTGGGGTGTATAAGAATGTTGACGAATAACGACATGGCCGCTACCAGATGATGAAATACGGTGTACCTGCCATGGTCAGAATGTTTGACATCTGTTAGCACTCTTGGAGTAGGCATTCTTCTCACGCACCAAGTCTTTCCCTTGAGCACGGAAACTGGCTCACTAATAGCATGGATCGTGCTTCGCGCTGCACCCAAAGCCAAATCGATACTTGAGTGCATGACCCGGTGAATATCCTCCGGCAAGCCTGCATCTGGATCATGTGCTACACCGAATCTCCGGACGACGCTGTGTATCATGGTCAGGAGGTAATTATACTCCAGTTGCAAATGAACTGCGTTTAAGCACGTTCGCACGGATGCATATCCAGAACTATTCCTGACTAAACCAAGTTTTGGTCGGAGCAGGGAACAGGTATTTACACGCCAGTTCTCAAGTTTGTTGTCTAGCTGCCGGATACGAGTCAGAAGCTCGCTGTCGGTGATATGTAGAGCCGTGGGAGAGTAGAGCAGGCGGAAGACTTTTGCCTTCAAAAGGCCAAGTCTGCGGTCTCCAGTGAGGAAAGCGAGCAGTTTGTCAGAAGCGGAACTATCCATTGCTTCATCAAATTCCTGAGCGGGGCTACTGCACTCAGCATCACCCAAGTCCATGTACTCATCTGCAAGGACAGGTGGCTGCCCAGTTATAAGACTCATGTCCTTGTCGGCAATATAGCAAGTCCAGAAAAGGTTTCGAACGTGCTCTTGACGGATATCGAGAGCCGCTTTGCTAGTTGTAGGATGCTTCATATGGCCATCGAGTGCGCAAACCATTCGGCAGGCTGTGAGGAGAAGTGCCCCTGCGGCATCATATTGGCCAGTGGCTATTCGATACTTGTACTAAACACGATTGATTTATGTTACCACTGCTGTGTAGATGACTCGGTCCAATAAGGTTCATATTACCAGTAATAAAGTAGCCTGCAAAGCATCCAGGCTGGCAAGCCCGTCGATAAGACCTAGTAGACTTTGAGCCCTCGATGCAATGGCCTGTGCATCGATCAAAGCGACTTCTTGACTGGTCTTCAAGTATGACGCAACGGCAAAAGCTACCAACAAGTTTGCCCTAGCTGCTAGATGCCCTTGCGAAGCATTTTCATTGAAAGCTGCGTACGCCAGGTCTATGGTTTCTGCAAATAGCGACTTGTCGAGGATTCCTATTCCCAAGCGAAAGAAGGAACTAGTACCGGCGTTAAAAGTCCTGAAGGCCAAACCGACATCGGGTAGTTCCCACAATTCACCGTTGCTAGGGTGGATTGGGTAGCTGATACGCCAGAAGAGCATTGTAGAGCCTAGTAAATGCTTCTCAAATCTTGTGGTGTCCTGCCTCGTAGTCGACTTGATCCATTTAACACCATCTTCTGAAACAATAGGCAGTCCTCGATGATACCAGTTGTTGCCGACGCGGAGCGTTGATTGGTTGCTGTCAGTCATCTTGCTCTCTGGAAGTTGAGGACTTGCAGTTGAGCGAAAGGCGTGGGCTTTGGCAAGCTCCTTCTCGAGTTGATCAATGCGAACAATGAGCTCTGTCATGTCCTTTGATGATTTGGTCCTGAAATCGAATCAGTGCCATAGCCACATGCGCCTGTTTGGTAAATTGACTGATACCTGCTTAGACCATTGACTCGCTTGCCTCTACTAAATTTACACTCCAGATTCTGATGGCGGCACCAGTCACAGGGTCCGCCATTATGAGATGTTAAACATTGGATCTGGGCTCATTTTAGTCTGCAGATTTGAACACTGGAGGCCAGACATACTTTTCTTTTAAAACACACATCACAGGCCCGTACTGGTGGCATTGGGGCGGCAGTGGTGACGCGATTACCGCGTACCGGTACAACCAGCGACTTGGTTGCGGCGGAGTTGCATGTGTCTTGTTGGGCCGAGGAGGATCAATTGATACCAGCAGTACGGAGTATTCGCGATGGTATTTCATATCGACTCAGCTGCTGCAGGACCCTGAAGGACGTTAGTAAGTACTTCCTACATGCTGTGTATCTTACCTGACTAATCGAATAACAGTTTGTCCGATTATCTAAGCCACGCTAAAACCGCTCTTGGTTACTCCAAGTAGCCCCATGTGCCTGCTCGCCTCTTCAGGTGACGATGTCTTAATGACCTAATATTGTAGTGTGAAGTGAATGAGATTATTACTCTTTTAATTCTCAAACTATCCTACTATTCGTACCAGCACTGCATCAGGTGGGCCCAATTTAACACCGTGTGCTTCGTCATACCGAACCAGAGAACCGTGACATACTAAAGGAGTAAGTAGAATTATGATCAGTTTTATGATATAAATTCAAGAACTACTATTATTTAAATATCGTGTTAGAAAAATAACATAAATCCCAGAAATGAGATGGCTGAAGAGACACAAACGCAACCAGACTGCTAGTTCCATAGTACTAAGCAAAACGTAGTTTTCGGCAAACAACAAAGACCAACTTGTACAAAAATCTGTAGTTGTCAGAAAGCTGTGATTTGAGCAGTAAAACTATGAAAATAGTAGTACATTAAACGGTGAAATGTTTCCCAACTTCCCCGTTCCCGCTTTCAATGTTATTGCCATGACACATGGAGCTTCAGCCTCACGGTGATTATTTGACAATCGATGACGCTTTTTGCGTCCATGTGACCAATTTTACCAAGCCGTAGGATCTACTGAAACGGGTGAAACACCAAACTCAGTATTTCTGCATTTTCTGTCGAAGCAAAAATCCGAGTGCGGCATTAAATTGTCAAGATCATGGTCAACAAAATAACGATTGGCATTCCGATCTGACTGTATTTATCGATTACATCGCGATATACTCCAGGATTACGTACTTGAAAACAAGCCTTTTTCTGTAAAAGCAGTTTCAAACCCTTGACTAATCAACCGAGCTTTCGCACTTGGCTGCCACCACCAAGATTGGCCGGAGAATTTGGCTGCCAGGTTCTCCGATGGCCACCGCGGGTCCACGAGAAGCGAGAGTCGCCTTGGTCAGACTTGGTGCATCGGTAAATAAGCTTGGTCTGACGCAAGACTCTGTGGGGGTGAGGCTTGCACGTCAGGGAAAGGCTCAGCCCAAAAACTGCTACGATGGCCAATAAGACCGGAATTATTTTCGCGAGATACGAGCAGTCATTCTATTTATATAGCATGAATGAGAGTACAAAATGAGCTGCCAAGATGGGTTCGCCATCCACCGGCCCTACCAGACGTAGTTTCAACTATGAAGTAACCAAGCGTAGTGATGAGTGTGAACATATTCCATGGAATATGGTCTCAGTGAATGGCGCCATATGAGGTAATCAAGGGAGAATTGCCGAAGTATCGACACATTGAGATCACAAATGGAACGCGTCCTAGTTGCACAGAAATTATGCCCTGTATTCCGTTGACATGTATCATTGGATGATGTGTTTAATCCAACAGAGACATAAAAACAACATGACATAGAAACATAACCCTCATGTCTGAACACCTCAACGTCGTCGGGGTCCCCAAGTTGGCTAATAAAATTGACTTCTTTTCGTTTTGGGCTTTCTATTAGGCTGAGTGCATCACATGATACATTTTTTGTGTGAAGATACTCCCTGTAATTGTAAAACCTTTTTAATAATATCGTTCATGTAATTGTTTCACGAATACCTTGACCGTTCTCTTGCGATGACCAGTTGCTCGCTTCACCATTAAATTATGTAACCGCCAGACTCATACTCACCTGACTAATCGGACAACTCCCTCTGTCCGATTACCTAACTCACGCTAATACCCGTCTTGTTTCAAGGATGATAACTCATCAGCCAATGAGCATACACCACGACGGCACCGGCTTGCCGCCTCATAGCATGATCATCTCCAAGGCCAGTGTCGTGGCAGGAAATGGGCACAGTGGTGCTCGATTCCGTGTCGCGCGTTATTTTTAAAGTTTTTGGTATATAAATACCTCTCGAGACGCCGAGACGCCTCGACTTCTTTTTTCCTGCCTTTGCAAACCACCAAAATACACACTTTGCAATCACTTCCCATCCAAAATGTCTTCCCCTACCGGCTACTGGACACAAATCGCAAACACCTCCCGCCTTTGTCGCTCGTCGCATGCTTTGTCTATACTTGGCTCCAAAGCCTATATTTTTGGAGGAGAATTGCTGCCCAGACAGCCGGTTGATAATCAGAGTGACGTAGTTGATTTGGCCCCCGACTCTCATGGTACGGGTTGTTATTCCTTCATGTCTCTACAACCGTTATACCTATTGCAGAACCTCAATCCTAAAATCTGACTTATAGCCACACTGAAGACACTAGCCGTTGGGAATGCGCCATCCCCTCGAGTTGGTACACCCAGCGTCTCCGTCAACGGTCACATATGGTTATTCTCAGGCCGGGGTGGCCTAGCCATGGATCCCATCGACGAGCAAGGCAGTCTTTGGAGATACAATCCTGCCAACCCTAGCTGGGACTTGGTGAAGACTACATCTTCAGAGTATCCCGCCGCTCGAAGCTACCATGCAATGACATCCGATGGCGCAAAGACCATCTATCTCCATGCTGGTTGTCCGTCTAAAGGTCGCCTCTCCGACCTGTGGGCATTTGACACGGAAAGCCTAGAGTGGACTGAACTCCCGTCTGCTCCTGGCCCCGCGCGTGGAGGAACATCAATTACATTTTGTCAAGGCAAACTCTACCGCATGGGAGGCTTTGATGGATCATCCGAGCAAGGTGGCATTTTGGATTCTTACGTGCCAGCATCAAGAACATGGCAAAGTACATCTTTTAGTCCTGATGGTATTCATGGCCCCGGTGCCAGAAGCGTGGCTACACTGCTTTCTCTAAGAAGCGCAGAACAGCATGTTCTTCTCACAATGTTTGGTGAAAGCGATCCTTCGTCCTTGGGACACGCGGGGGCTGGGAAAATGCTCCGCGATGCGTGGATATTCAACATTCGGGACTCGGCCTGGAAGAAGGTTGTATTTGAGGGTGATGTACCTGTCGCGAGAGGGTGGTTTTCGGCAGATGTTCTTCTGGGAGATGACCGAGATGCTGTCATTATCCATGGGGGTTTGGCCGAGGATAATTCTCGATTGGGAGATGTTTGGAGAATGGAATTGGTGGGAGCTTTCTAATAGTTTGTTTGGACCGGTTAAGCCTCTCCTTGAGTGTCGATAAGAAGGAAATGACTAATATCTATTGCTATTCCGGCCTGTCATGTGCGAATCTTTGCCCATGGATGACACGTGACTACAAGCCAAATATTGTATATCCTCCCCGAAGCAGTGGAGGGAATGCCATCGCTGCCCTTGCACATTTGCTGTCACATGGGATTACACGGGTCAAGGTGTTACACAACGGCTATGACCACGAGACCTAGGGCATAAGGCCAACTATGGCCTTGTATAAATAGAGCTCTTTGGGTCTTATAGGCCGTGGGAAAGGACCTTTAGTTACAAAAACTGGTGTTAGATGAACTGAGCTATTGATTCCAATCACTCTACTAAGCCCTTGTCACACCGACCAGCACTCTGTGTGCTGTGCACGTTGTCGCCCCCTTTTTAGTCTGGCTGACATGGAATATCATGTATAAATGCTCGGATACTTAGACTAGCTGGCAGAGTGATGGCAGTCTTATCATTAACCCGAAAATTGCAATGAGTCCTGCTAAAAGCTGGTGCATTTTATTGACGATGCACTCGACATATCTGCATTAAGTATGTGTATACAGCCTGAAATTTGGGAGTACGCCGGTTTCTGGGGCCAATTTATTCAAGATCTAGGATCCGGCTAGTTGTATCACTCAACATAAGCTATTCCCACCGGACGGCTTCTCTAGATGTAATTATACTCCGTACAAAGAAGCTAGCTATTACTTTATTCTATTTTGTTGTCAACCTTCTGCAGTAAGTATCTGCGCTTTTGTAAAGTATTGTTGGGGCTTATCCTCACGCGCATACCATCACTTGCACCGCAATATGTCATTATATCATCTTGTCATTGAAACGACACTTAAATGTCGCAGTTATCCTTCAAACCCGCCATAGGCAACTAAGCCTAGGATTCAGCTATGAGTATTTCGATTTCATCAACTTGAATCTTTCGAGTCTGCTTATAAGTTTCATCAGAATGGCAGTAAGTCTCAAGATAGATATTTGGCGGTTTTTGGAACACATTTTACCAGTTATATCATCAATCTTCTGGCTGCCGGACGAGATTCAGAATTAGCTCATGTATGGCATAGCCACGTATTGCCTGATTCGTTTGATATGCCAAAGCGGCTACGATTTGAACAAGTCCCTCGAAAATAATTAATCCATCCAGAATTCGGCAACACATTTGTCCTTCTGAATAGATCGACTCGATGTGGTGAGTAATCATCTCGGCCGGCGGGGAGTCGACAACATGTTGGGCGACAGCCTCGGCTCAAGCTTTCGACCCGCCAAATCTAACGAAATCTCAACTCTACAAAGTTCAGGCATTACAACGCTCCAGTACCACGCAATCATGTCTGTCCCGTATCTCTTGAACGGCCAGGCTGGCAATATCCCTGCCTCGCAGAGGATTCCTGTCATTGCGAAACCGTTTGTGAGCGAGAAGGCGGAAAGAGCATTGGATCTGGTCAGTGTGATGACCAATCTCGGCAGTGTATTCTCAGATGTTAATAGTCCAGAGTAGGTCGAGAGATTTGTCGAGGAAGAATGCATACCTGCCGAGGCGATTTTCTCGCAGCAGCTTGGCCAGGGGGCGTCCAATCGGTTCAACGCACACCCACCAGTCATTGAAGATCTGAAACGCAAGGCCAAGGAATTAGGATTGTGGAACATGTTCCTGCCCAAGAACCACTTCAAAGAAAGCGCGGGCTTCAGCAACTCGAGTACGGCTTGATGGCCGAATATTTAGGCAAGAGCTTCATCGCCAGCGAAGCAACCAACTGTGCTGCTCCCGACACGGGTAATATGGAAGTTCTTGCGAAATTGGCACCAAGGACCAGAAGGCTCAGTGGTTAGGTCCGCTACTAGACGGCAACATTCGATCCGCATTCTTGATGACGGAACCTCACGTCGCTAGCAGCGATGCTCTTAACATCGAATTCAGCATGAAACAAGATGGTGATTATTGGGTATTAAATGGTCAGGTGCGTTTTGCCGATTCGATCCGTGATGCTCTTTCTCACAGTCTCAGAAATGGTGGTCTAGTGGTGCTGGCGACAGTCGATGTAAGCTGTATATTGTCATGGGAAAATCGGATCCGACCAACGCCCATACCTATAAGAAGCATTCCGTTATTCTTGTCCCTGCAAATACTCCCGGTATCACGGTCAAGCGTGTACTCTCTGTAATCGGCTTTGACCATGCGCCACATGGTCACGCGCATATCATATTCAGCAACGTTCGCGTCCACAAAGATAACCTGATACTCGGTCAGGGTAGGGTGTTTGAAGTCGTCCAGGTCGTCTGGGTAGCAGGAAAGAGTCAGAAATTCTAAATTTCTTCATATGAAAATGTTGAAATATAAACCAACTGAGTACTTGCTGAGGAAACAACCGTTCCCAATCATATATCAGATGGCTAATGATTGCTGTTGCCCTGGATGAGTGCCTTGATATATACACGAACCCTTGGTACAACGGCAAGACAAGCAAAGCTGGCACAACGAAACGAGAGACTTCCCACATACGCCGAAGTCGACGGTGACGAGTTGCCAATCAAGGGGCTCATTAAGCCGGAACGAAGCCAGGCGCAGCAGGTGGCAGCTGATCTGCTTCTGATTCCTCCCGCGCACACTTATTAGTCACATCATTTGGTATGGTGCCGTTAATGGCAACAACGGCATATTCACAATCTGCACCCCTGGCAACATACATAGTTCTACCTGTATGGTCATGGAAGACGTATGATCCGCGCAGGAATCGTCGGCCGAACCAAATACCTAAGTAGTGCAAAGTTAACTGTGGCGAGAATATGTGACTCTGATTAGACGGGACTCTGATTAGACGGGACTCTGATTAGACGGGACTCTGATTAGATGGGACTCTCACTATTTGGTTGATGACTTTGAGCTCCAGTCAACGTTTTGCAGGTTCTTCCATTGTCTGTCCTTTCACGTACAAAGTCCGAAAGAGGCACCGAGTCGACAGTGTTGTCAGTAATCTGAAAATCGAAAGCCCCCCCTGATGTCACACGGATTAGGTCAAGCAAGGATTAGAAGCCTTTTGTTACACAAAGAAATCACGAGAACTATGGGGCACACTAGGCACGGGCCGTTCCTTTCATGTATATAAGATGGTCTCCCCTCGCCTTCTGGCTTGGAGGAACCAAGGACCTTTGACATCCTACAAGATTATCATTGAATTGAGCCCTTTTGCTTCAAGCCCTCTATTGAGCCCTTGTCACACCTGAGTCCCCTACATTGCGGACAAATTCATATCCACCGTCTTTAATGACAGCTCCTGCCTTCGCAACAAAGCCCCGCGATGTACCTATAACAAGATACATATTAATAGTCCCAGATTCTACTCCCATGTGCAAAGGACTGCCTCTAATGCCGTGAGTGTGGAGTTCGATGACGTCCTGGCCTCTGCCAGGTCTAAAAGAAACGGATTTGACCACAAAGACAAAGTTGAAAATAGCCAATTGTTAAGATAGGATTGCTATTACAACCCCAATCTGGTATTCGCTTCGCGAGCTTCTCAAGTGGCCCAGGGAATTACTGGTGTATCCACCAGAGGTAAGCGCGGCTGATCGTGCTTGCGAAAACCGAATCCAAAGGCCTTTCTCTTTACGCCCGTCTGGTTAAGGAGACTTTGAAGAATGAAATCCTTATCATTTTCGCCGCCTTCTTCCGGTAGCAGACCCAACACGCCCACTATGAACAAGTTGGCTATGCATCTCATCACAACTGTGGGACACACATTATTGATGAGGATAGCCGGTTTTTTATGAGTGTGCTACCACACAATGTCCTACGTCGTAACCATGGAAAATTTTGAAGCTTTTTAGTCATATGGTTAAACGGTTCCGGCCTACCTATTGAATTGTAGACAGACTCGTCGTGAGAAATAGGCTTGTTAGCGGACGATTGTTCTTATAAAAAAAGATTGAACTTGCATCCTGTCGCATCATGCTCTATGTGTCCTATTCAGTATGTGGAAGGGAACATTATGGCTGCTATAGAGTATCCTAAATCCAGGGGTTGGCAGTGTAATATATCCTTGTACATGCAAGATGTGCACTCGGAGAGGTATTTGTTAGAGTATAGAAGAACGATGTGAAAACGCGAGATTTTGTCTGACCGTTCCTGAGCCACATGTTTGGCTCTGAAATTTACTTCCACATTCCATGTGCAATTGAGTGCCTCCGACTCACCATCTCCTACTCGTCTGCGAATGCGTGTCTAGCATAACACGGTGATTTGACCTCCCATACATATTTACTTGCAAAGGGTATTTCCTCTAGCCAGGACAAAAGTTATCAATTTATTGTAAGAAAGGGAGACAGGTGTGGAACAGATACATCTCTGTAACTAAGATGGCACATTGAGTATTTTCAGGAATTACCAATGGAATAAATAAATACAAATCAGAACAGGCTATACTATACATTGTATATTGGTGAAATTCTCAGACTATAGCCTAGGGATATCTTGCCGTGGTACTTGTGAGCTTCATGTAATTTTGTTTCAACATCACTTTACTAATTTTCAAATTCCTCATGCGTCGGCCTTCCAATTATCTTGTTAACATTTTCTGCTAAAGGATACTTGCCAAATAGGTTTACGAAACAGGTTCAGCACAATCTTTCTGGATATCAAGCCGCGCTACTAGATTCCAAGAGAACTACAATGAAGACACCCGGTAATAACAAAATCGGTACACTAGTTTTTGCATCATTTACTCCGTGTGTTTACTACTTATCTTCCAAACCAGGCCTCATACTTCTCTGATTGCTAGTACTTGCACCCGGATACTGGCCGATGGAAGGGCATAAGCCAGGTGCTAGTACCTTATATTAAAAACGTGCATTTCTTATGGTCAACTTCTGCTTTACTAACCCTAGTCTTTCAAGCATCTGGCGCCTCAATACCAGCACAGTTTGTCTTCTCCAGTTCGCGTAAAAGACACTCCGACTCAGACCTCGAGAGGTTCCAAATCCCGCGAGAACTGATACTGAATACGACGTTTTGAGTGGTAAATGAAAGATTTTAGTAATAAAGCTAGGGACGCATGAAGATGAAGGTATAAGGTGCTGCCTCGGTCCTTATGAAAGATAGTATCAACAACCAATTCCGCTGGGTTTACTCATTGAAAGCAAAGCAAAAGCTTCCAGTCGACAGAGACACACCATTGTCCAATGCTAACGGCTCCATCACAACGCCATTAGTGGCCGAGCTTCGAACATGGCGGTTAATCAGCGACAGACCGATGAAGAGCTCAACAGCAGCTTGCCAGGCGAACAGTTGCAGATCAATGACGGGCTTAATAGAGACGTAAGGCTATTCTCTTCTCCTCCGTTCTGGTCATATTTGTCATAAATCACTTAAAGCTCAGAATTTTAAGGATATCAACACGGGATTCAATCCCGGCGATCTGGAAGTTTAGAGCATTATGCTTCCAGTTGTTGGGGATGATATTTGAGTCATAACTTCATAACTCCACAGCGTTTATACACCTATTTTCCTTATTTATGCCGAAATATGGTCTTACCGGGATCTGTCATGCTTTTGTATGAAGCGACTAAACGTGGAAGATTTACGGGAATCGGAGGGTGATTTATCCCGGATACGATATTACTCATTCTTGGAGATCCAACGAGGAAGGAACACGAGTATGTAGGAGGGGAAATTGGTCGTCTCCAAGACGTTATGAGCGATCATGTTCCTGGTTACGTTCGGAAGTTTGTTGAACAAGAGCGCTCAGCGAGTTCCTTCTGAACCTCATTATTATAGTCTAATCGCATGTAAATCGAGTCACCTCGTGGTGTTCTCGTTATATCAAATGTGTACTTTGTCGATGGAGTAGTCGTTGTTCAGGGTTAGCCCAAGAGCTATGAACGATTTCTATTAGTACATGATATACTCTGTAGAAACTCTAAATAAGTCACTTCAACATGATCAAATCATCCTGGTGAAGTTGCACTGGGAATGATGTTCCAATCTCTTCATAAGGATATATATGCTGTTTAAAAAGACCACCAGATGCCATAGTGGTTCGACTCTCCTGAGCCCAATTAATGTACTGGTATCAGGTCAAGATTGGTATTAACTTGGGCAGTTCTACAGTTGAAAGCAAATAAAATAACCTATAAACATCCCTGGAGAGATATCGTGTACCATAACAAGTATCCCGCAACCCATCAATTAACATCTCGCCCGTTCCTGTGCTTCGCCATCTCTCTTGAGACGGCGCGAGTCGTGTCATGCTTAGCAATGTTGTGACATAAGCCTGATTACATATCGCATAAGCATCCAGTCGCAATGATAATAGGGATAATTGAGATAGCCGAGATGGGGCAAAGTGTTACCCGATTTTACATCAAAATGCCGCGTGAAAGGGCCGAAAGAGAATCCACTATGGAGACTTCCAGCAATCGGGAAACCCCATGTAATCAAGGGTCCAAGACTCCAAGGGTCCAATGCTGGTATCATGCCTCCAGGGGACCATAATTATCAACGCTAATCCCAATGGATTCGGAGGTTCGTTGAAACGCCAAAGACCCGAATAGTCCAGCCACTCGGCTACTGCCTCTATCGGAGCACAGCAACTAGTAAATGATGGCCTGGTCTAATTGTGACGGCTTAAATCACCACAGCATACAGGCCGGTTCAACAAGAATCATGCCATATTCGGTGAAAAGCGTTCTGGAAAACAGATGGAAGGTCACCTAATCCTACGTCTATCTCCACCCTGCCCCTTTCATCGGTCGGGAACTAACAGAACTGACGGACCCGAAAGTCTGATCCCAATGAACAACGTGGTCGTCGCTCATCAACTCTCAACGATGCCCTCATTGCTAAAGGGTACACAAATGCAGTCCGCGTCGGCAACGCTCCTTTCTCATATCGCTGAAGTAAGAACTTGTTTGACCTTTGCCGGTACACCACCGTCTTCGAATTTGTCGCCATAGTATCAGAAGATGTTTGTTTGCCTGTTAAGAAGAGCTGCATCCGCGGTAAAATGCCAAGTCCTTTTCCGAAAGTAAACGGATCGCTCATTAAGTATTACCCAATTATGTTACAGTTAAATAAGAGACAAGGCATGGCATTGCTGGGGAATTGCCATTGGGCAGGCTTCAATCGAAGTACTCGGGATTGCTTTTACAATGCTGTTGATTTCTAACTATCCCTTCATACACGGTTTATGCAATCCCTTCAGGCCGAAGTTATAGATGAAATTAGGTTCTCCCTCGAATACATACGACCATAGCCGCTAGATTAATCACGATCCCGTCAAGCCCTTCTCCGAGGTTTCAATGCCTCCATTTTTGGAGGATGTGGTGTCCGTTTTTGGAGGACAGAGAACCCCGAGTTGGTGTGGGAGGATTACGGTTTGCCGCCGTATCGCACGGTGGCCTGTCGTAAAGGACGGATGGCGCCGGCACCGGCCTCGCAGTGCTTCTTTCGGTCTTTCGGCGATACAATCACCCCCCAATCACTGGACCCCTGATTATTTGCAAGGCCTGGGCTGGTTATTCTGGCCAATTGCCAGCAACATCAACTCCAGCGGGCCGCGAGACATGCGACCGCACTGGACCTCCTCTTACATCGATTACGCCTTTCCCTCCTGTTGGAAGTGCTGGGGCCGGATGTTCGGAAATTGCCTTCTCCTGAGAAACCCACCTAGTGGGCTCTGGCGAACTACAGTCAACCACACAACCAGAGTTTTTTTTGTCCCTGTTATAATCTGGTTTGACATTGCTACCCAGACATCGAAGTGAATCGAAGCCTCCAGGCTTATTCAACAGTTTTTTTTTTATCAATACTATTGAGGATCGCTTGAGGATGAAAATTCTGAGTAAATGAGATCCTTGCCCCTAGCAGATCCGCTGGTGGGGGGTAGTTCGGACTCATCAGAAGGGACTGCAAGAACCAAGAAAAAGTCAAGTCAAACCAACAACCAATTTAACCAGTCGTCTCCGCCCTTGGGAGTCTCTGCCTCCTGTGCAGTGTGACTTTCCCTATGCACCGGCATTCCTGCTCTCCGCCCCCTCTTCGCTTGTCTCCCGATTTTGATCCCTGTCTCGTCCTTATGTCAGACGACAGTGAAGGTCAATGACGACGCGAAGGCAACTCAGCATGGCCACCGAACTCGAAGAAATCTGGTTGGAAATTCAGCTGCTACAGGCACTTGGTTTGAGCCAGGATAGCCTTCTCGAGAAGAATGACGGACTGCAAAGCTTGAGGCTCGGCACGAGTCCATACCATAAATTGTTGACTTGGGAGACTTATCTCCAGTCAAGAGTACTGTCATAGAGGTCATCACCCGCCTTCCATTCCCAGCAAGAAGCGGGGGATTCACGACATGACTATCGAGATGAATTTACGCAAGTCATCGAAGCGTAAGATCGAAGTCATAGCTCAACAAAATGGCAGCGCACGCAACATTCCATTCTATGGAGACACTTTAACGAAGGATAATCTTGCCGGTGAGCAAAACTCGCACCAGCGGGTACCTAGAAAGCGCAGCTACAAGAACTCGATGTTCACATTCTCCAACCGCCAAATCAGGATTTGTCACAACGGTGTTGGAAACTTATCAATCTACTATTCCATTGCGCTTGATGAGGGGCGAGCCAACAGTGGACATGACCAGCTATCCATCAGCTCAATTACCTTCGCTGCTGGGTTCTGTCATTGTGTTCGTGACTATATGCTGCATTTCATCTCATGAGATATCCATTATAACGTCCTGTCCATCGCCAAGCTCAGGTACTGGCATGTTGACTTTGGCCAGATCTCCCACCATGGTACTCCGCAGTGATTCTGGATTTTGGTTATCGTGCTTGTACTTGCCATGTGCAAGGATTGAAGCTTGTGTAACTGGCGCTGCCTCTACTGCCACTGCATATTTCCGCTTTTTGGTAGGCCCCTCTAATATTAGGAGCGGGAACAAGCCTCACTGATAGTGGCAAAATCCTCCTACCCCATTCAGTGGCAATTCTGTGAATTGTGTAAGACAACATCCCCGAGCTCCTCTACTTTAAAGGATGAATTGAAATAAAAATAGTTATAAGATTTATTTTCGCATTACTTTATGTAAATTTCACTTCCAAGAATGTTAGTCCACCAAACCAATGTCCCAGTGCCACCTTAGTACCGTACACGGCTACTTTAGAAGTCCTGTAATCCGCTGGTAGCCAAAGACATTTCTTGCCATCTAGAGTTATCCACTCTTCATCGACATACAAAAGATGATCTAAAGTACTCTGACCCGGACATTGTTCGGATGAGAAGGGCGCAACCACCTTGTTATCCGCCATCAGGTGGTCGGACTGCATCAGCTCGACAGCGCCCCTCAACATCGCTGGGGGAGGCAACAGGAATCCTTTCAGCTGGAAGTTGTCCTCGGTATCCCTTCCTAGGTCGTATTGGACCATGTCGCCATATTGGCCTTCGGGCATGCTGATCACCACATCGCCCAGGCGGATGTCATGCTTGTCGCTGGGCACGTGTCCTCCGATACCGACGAGAAATCGCCACTGGACGGAGGGGAAAGTGCGAGCCAAGTTCGTGGCGACGGTCGCAGCGGCGCCTTTTCCCTGGATGCCGGGAAGGCACGCGAGGACAACATTGTGGCCGCTGAGCTCGCCGAGGACGTACAAGTTCGAGTCGCCTTGCTTGGGAGGCAGGCGGGGATGCTCGCGATCCAGCATGAAGCGGACGGCGCTCATCTCGAAACCGATGGCACAGAATCACAGATAACCGCGACGGTGTAAGTTAATTTTCGTACCGCATCGGGGTGCTGGGTGGGTCCGGCATTGTGATGTCGGTAGGCAGCCTATTACAACGGCGATGGAGGATCGTGTCAAATTCCACAGAAGCGTTACTAGTGTGGACCCGATCATCCGGGTTCGTAGTCACAAAATCATTGCGATGTTTAGGATGCGAGATACGTCTGAGAAGGCAGAGTGGGGTGACAGCAGGAGCCTGATCTGTTTGGCACAATCGGAAGGACAGCCAACGGCATCATTCTGCACCGCAGAGTCGTTTGGCTGCCAATAGCCATCAATAGCCCTCCCACGAGAAACTGTGGCCTTGAGGTTGATGCATGGCGTTTCGACTCGAACCGAGAGGAGCCGGTCGCTCCCAGGTCGCAGAGTCGAGTATTCCTTGGTGATGAGATGCACCCGCCTGCACTCCGCCAACGAGGCGTCTGGCAACTAATTCCTCAGCCGAGTCGTTCCTCAATTAGCTATCCGCCACGCCAGTTCAATAGGCCGCCATGTCTTGGTTGGCGAAGGCTGTGCACTTACTTGGTGTGAATTACAAGACAAGGCCTGTGGTCGGGTCTGTTGGTGGGGTCGCGGCACCATCCGACGCTACAAGCCCCCAGTAGCATCGGCGGGGATGCTGATGTGGATCGTCGGCGCCGGGTTTGTGGGCCGAGAAAGCCGATGCGCATCCCCCAGCCACCTGGTCAATTAATAGGTCGCTAGCCAGTGTCTTGCCTTGCATTGCCTCGTCCAATAAAATCTTTAGCAACTGCCTCCGAGTTGTCTCGGTCCAGACGAACGACATACCCAACCACTCAAGTGTCCGTAGTGATCCCGCGAAGCAACCTCCGCGACTGTGAGGTGCGTTCTTGGAGGTGATCGGCGTAATGACTGACTGTGGACGCGGGGACTTAGTCGGGGCATATCCTTGCAATGCAGATGAAGTGGACACAAAGTCAAGGGGTTTCGCGACGTTCCGCTACGAGCGACCCTGCTTGGGGTAACTCGGTCGAGTAAGTCTTTAGCATATGCAGCTGCCGTGCCGCCATTGCTGCATAGCCCTGCCACTCCTTGTTCTTGTGAGAGCCTGAGTAGTCGCATATACCGCGAATCGCCAAGCATGGAAAGTGGTTCATCAACCCAGCTGCTTCCATTTCAAAACAGAGGACATCCCTTTGTGCTATACGTTTATCCCGAATGAGGTACCGACGGGAAGGAGTCCGCTCCGTCTCGCAGCTTGTCACTGGTTTCCGTTCAATCACCACTCATAGATGGATCTTGCTAGCCATCCCATGGTCAAGGCGAAAAGCCTGTCTTACTGCTCTAGAAGCTTTGACATGAATGGTAGGCGAAACTGCTCGACATTTATTCACGCGCTCATCCCCACACCCCTTCGTAAATAGAGATATGATAAAAAAATTATATTAAAATAGAAACACTTCACGCAAAGACTTCTAGCGAAGTCCAAAGCCGGTAACCTGGAGATTGCACATCCACCCAGGACCACACCTTTCCAGATCCAACGCTAATACTAATTGTGTTCCCTAATACGGCCGAGCTTAACGGCCGGCACTCAGATGGTAATTATACTATGTTCTTTAAATTATATGTTATCCACTCTTTATTTAAACTTAAGCTTACGTCTTAATATCGCGGATTTTAAGGATTATCCGGTAATGTGTTAGAAGCTAATAGAGTATCTAGAGTAACGGTACTAACATTAGTATGCAGATGAAAGCTGTTAGGATAAACCCAGGATATGGGAC